TTAATAAAGGACTCTCAACGTCATGTCTGTACAGATCCTGCTGAAATGTTTAAATTGGAGCAGTTTTATTTCAACAGTTGACGATGTTTTGCACAAACTTGTTTGGTTTGCATTCAGTTATGTTTGTTCATTTTTGTTAGGAAAAACCTGGAATGACTGACTTTGCCTTTACCTTGTCTGAATTTTTGTTGGATATCACGCCTTTGATTGTGTAAGTTTGATTGTTGGTTACACTTAAACTCACTTTTTGGTGATCTTTTTGTATTTTTGCAGCTTTTCAATTGTATGTTTCTTTCTGGCTCATGATTAAATGCAGTGTCTTGTTCACACTTTCAGTTGGGCTTGTTTGGTGTCAGGTGGAGATTCACAAATGGGTCATTCTATAGAAACGTCCATTTTTGTGTTCCTAGTGTTTATAGATATATTACATTTAAAAAACATGTTAGGGTTATTTATTTATATTTTACAATAAAAAATAAGTTATTTTATAAATTATACCTTCTTGAGCATCAAGTTAGCAATGTTGGTTTTTAAATCAGTTATATAGAATTCCAAGCACCACAGAAGAGCTCGTCATCACAGTCATGTGTGAAGGCTGAGGCCATATTTTGAAGAAAAAAAAAAACATGTTTTTCTGGAATTTTAACTACAATAATCTATTCATGACTATGGAATATATAAATTAAATGGCATAAAGAAAACAAATGCCAAATAAATATTCTAAAATATATAATGAAAGTTGTGGTCCCCAGGAGTCGTGTCACTGGTGTTACTACAAAAATCTCTTATTTTGAAATAAAAATCACACTGATGACATCAATTGGCTTCTTTTACCTATTTCCTGAGTATCTATTAAGAAAAGCACATGGTGAGTCCACGGTGTCTTTTCAGTTATCAGAAATTTTCTCATTTAGCTCATGATTTCGTATGAAGCTTTTAGTTTAAGTCACTAGTGTGACCTACTTTATTCTTAGGTAGTTGTGAAAAAATAGAATACAAATGGATTAAATTGCATATTTTAGTGGCTATTCCATGACTGACAACATGTGGTTTGATGCTCTGTAGCAGACATTTTGAAAAATGTATTTTTCATTAAAAATGTCTCTGGTGTTACCTTTCCTATGTGTAACACCAGTGAGGATTAGTGACACCAGTAACACCTACAGAGAGATAGAAAAGTGGACGTTTCTGTAGAATGACCCAAACATTCTGACAATCACGCTTTGGAAGTAGCTAAAAAGTAGTGCACTACTTTTTTCTGGAAAAGTAGCTGAATTGTAGCTGCTACAAATTTTGGGAAAGTAGCCAATTACTAATCACTACTAAAAAATCACTACTAATTTTTCAGTAGCTATTCCAACCCTGATCTGGGGTCACAGGTCGCAGGAGGAAGAAGGTCAAGCTTCAGCGTGTGGCTACAGAGTCCAGAGGTGGGTAGAGTAGCCTAACAGTCCCAACAAGTAACTATTTTATATTGTGTCATTCATGTGGAGCTCCACTCTTCCACAGCAGCCCTGGAGCTTTTTAGACTCTCATCTCCCCAACATAGCACAGTCTATACTAACATACAGCATAAATACTCCACTGAGATCAGGAGCTTTTCAGTTTATATCATATTTTAATAAACATTTCATTAATTAGAAGCATTTAATACAGAAATATTCACTTTGTAGCATTTATTTTTTGCTAGCAAGATGATAATTTCTATTAGCATGCTTATGAGATTTTTTATAGGATGTTAGCGCCAAGCTAATGAAGATGTACCTTCATTTTCCACACTGGACTTAATATTACTTATGGTAGTGTTGACAATTGAAGCTGGTAAGTCATAGATTTAAAATACTCTTTACTTTGTATGTTTCGGTTTTACAGTAAAAGCTCTTAAATATTTAAACTCAGAGTCTAATTCTGAAAGTTACTGGATTAGCCTGTTAGCCTGTTAGCTATCTGTCGATCTGGTTGTTAAACAAGATCACTTTCTTTTGTAGCATGAATATAGAATGATTTTAGACTGTCTGATTCATATACACACAATTTAATACTGCAAACATGCATTAATTCATTCTCTAATGTTCTACAGTAAAAACTGATTCCTACTAGAAATGACTCATCTGGTATTTTCTTATAGGCTATAAGAACCATGTTAGTAGACATGCTGTCTGTGAAAATGTAGCTCCTCTGAACGCTTCGTCTGAAGTGCACATCGGTACATCTGTTAGGACTGTGTTTTATATCAGCGAGTTTATTTAGTGTCGGGAAAAAAACAAACATTGTTATTGTCTTTGTTGCCTGCTGCTTAAAAAAAATGACTAAAATATGTCCAAAATATAGAAAACTTGTCTGTAAAGAAATCAGAGATTCAGCATCTATCAGCACTGAAGTCTGTTTGGTGCTGTTCTTCTGTTTTTAGACCCTTTTGGCCTAAAATTACATGCTAAATCTAGAAAGTAAGTTTTAAGCAACAGCAAAGCAGAACAGATGCTGAACCAGTAGAACAGAATGAGACACAAAAAGAGAATTAGTAACTTAATATGAATGTCTAAAGTAGAACTGAGTAAAAAGTCGATCAGTTTCCTCACAAATAGACTTGAGTAGAAGTAAAACTGTGACTCACTGAAGTACAAATCAATCAAAAGTTTACAGAGGTACAAGTAACTGAGTAAATATAACTAGTTATCTTTACTCAGTTACCTATTTTATTTAAATACTCCACTGTAGATGCTTTGTAGATGGATTTAACTAAATAGTCTTTTAAATTCATATTACAAACTCTAACTCACTAACTCAACCTGGTCTTAATCCTCACTCTGACTTTAGGATTAACTCTTAAGTCTTAATCCTAATCTTGGTCCTAAAGCTGACCCTGGTCCAAAAACCCTCCAATACTGTTGAGAATCTACTGAGTTTCAGGTAGTTTGTTGACAGTTTGAACATGTGTAGATAATCTATTGTGGGCTGTTCAGATAAAGTGGAACAGGTTTAGTGCATTTGTGCATGTTTGTGGAATGAGATGAGAAAGTTAAGGTTAATTGTTTCTAGGTTTTATTTGTTGTTACAGGAGATCTGGATATTTGTAATGTATATTTTGAAGATATTTCCATTTGCAGTGTCTCATCACTCTTTCTGTGTTTTTGCAGGTCTCACACTGGATCTGTCGTCTCCTACATTAGTTGCAGATAAATATAAAAATGCTTAAACTGCTATGCAGCTTTATATTACTTGTAGCTGTAAAAATAGATTCTAGAGTCTAAAATCAGGAGAAAGCTGTAGACGCCCCCAAATTATTTTAAACATTAGTTCTTAAAATCTGTGACACAGTAATCAAATCCTGAGATCCGGTGTTGACCAGAGGAGGATGGGTTCCCCTTTTGAGTCTTGGTTCCTCTCAAGGTTTCTTCCTCTTGTTCTGAGGGAGTTTTTTCTTGCTCATCTGGGGCTCGGACCCGGAATTTCTGTAAAGCTGCTTTGTAACAGAGCCTGTTATAAAAAGCAATAAATAAATATGTCTTGAATTAAACTGAAATGAAGAAAGAACAATGATTACATTTACAGACTCACTAGATACATGATCCACAGTTCCATTTACAGAAATTTCTAAAAATAATACTAGAACATTTACTTCTTAAGAGTGTTTCTGTTGTTCATAAGTTTATTAACTATTAAAATTAAACTTTTTTTTTTACCAAAAGTCATTTTCATGCAAAGAACTATTTATAATTTTTACACAAGAAATTATTGTCTTATACAGTTTGTTTACTTGTGTTTTTTCAGTGTTGTTCTTCACAGTGTGGACTAAAGAGTAAAGAGGGAGATAAACAACTGAACAGCTAATGTAGTTTATCTGTATAGAAATGAAACAGAACATGATAAAGTAACAACATGTCAAATCACTTTAACAACACAATAATCTCTCATAGTCACTGCACTAAAACTGATGCAGTGAGATTAGCTTTAGCTAATAATGCTAATAAAGCTAACCAGTCCGTGTGGACGGTCATCAAAGTGTCCGTCCGCAGGTCTCACTGTTAACTGCAGTGCTGCTCCATCACACAGACGAATGCAGGTAGAAAGAGAAGGATAAAGAGAGAAATCTGTGCTGAGAGGGTCTGTTAGTGCTTTTTAGACATACAGACAGATTGATTTACCCATCACACTGTTTTATTAGCAGAAAGTCATTAGATATTAGTTTAATTAGCAGATAATTAAGTTAGCTCTGTCAGTAATCTTCCATTCTTTACCAGATATTTTTCTTTATTTTGGTCAATTATGTCTATAATTACAAGGGGTTGGAATAACCAGAAGCCCCTGATTATGATACTATCATGACATTTATAAGCTAATAAGGAATAAAAAGTAAGGTGAGAAAAGAGAAAGTGAGACATCTCTCAACAAGTAATAAAATAACTGAACTATGAGAGTGCTGCCCTCCAGTGACTAAATTATGTTATTACTCCTACAATCATTTTAATTACAGTCTAAGACAAAAACTCTGTATTAATAAATCATAATTAAACACGTGTAAAGATCTGCTGTTTTTGGAACAATCTAGTGTTTCTAAAATCAACGTTCTGTTTCTGAAACATTAATATTAAATGTATTTGCACCTCTGAATATTAATCACTCCACCTATAAAGATCCTCAAAGGAGCATCTGTTGATTTGTTGGGGATCAATGTTAAAGTCAGAGAGTCTCAGCTCTGGATCATTATGTGTGTTGATTTATTGATTATTGATCAGAGCTGTTCACTGTGAGTAAAGATGATGAATTTATCTCAGACTCCAACAGGGTCACTTTCCTGGAGCTGTCCAGAGTGCTGAACTCACCTCTTACTGACCATAACTGGTCATTTTATTCTTTTTTTTTCTTTATTTATTTATAGTCTGAAAAATGTTAGTTTTTGGAAATGTGAGCTATTTTAATGCAGCATAAACAGTAATAATGAACTAAACAGCTAAACAGAGAATCATCCAGGATCTTCTGAGACAGTGAAAGTCACCTCTGCAGGTGTTGCTCAGATATCGGTCATCGTCTCCAGCAGGTCCAGAATCTCTTCAGAGCAGAAAAGATCATCTTCAGATGAAACTATGGCATCATAGTGGAGTCAGTTCAAGGTCGAGTATGTAGAGGTTTCACTGTGGCCTCTTTATCAGAGGTGGAGTGACCTTCATCAGAAAAGCCCCTCTTCATCTTCCTCTTTCTCTTCTCTCGCTTCTGCAGCTGCTGCCTGAGTAGATCTGCATATAACATGCAATAATCACAACTGAACCTTTATATTCTTTGCTGCTAAAAATGTTCATTTTAACATGTCTGTTTAATAAGAAACAATAAAAAAAAAAACAACAAAGTTAAAAGGCAGACAGAAAAATTATAACAGAAATAAGGGACAATTATTAAAGGTACAAAAGTCAATTAAAAGAAAAATAAGTGTTGATGTGAGTCACATGTCTGAAAGCCTGTTTGGAAAAGCTGAGGTTGGGACAGAAATCTTGTCTGTGTTTACATGAACGTCCTGTCAGTTTTATTACAGACTCTCTCCAAGACTCCTTCACTCCACCCACATCTTAGTCCTCACAGAGACAAACTAACACAGAGTAATGCAGATACAAACTGCCCACCAACACAGACTATCAACAGAGCTCTGTGGTGGTCTTATTAAATTAAATGTACAGTGGAGGAAATAAGCAGGAGTGGAGTTCTGAAAATCACTACTTACTTCATTACAAGTATTAGTGAAGAAAATTACAAGTAAGAGTAAATATGTAGTTTACTGTAAAACTACTTGAGTATTTGAGTTACTTTTTTGTACATCTGCATCACAACCTGAGTATATTCACAAACTATTTTAAATAATCTGTATAAACAAAATTGAAGCCAAACATGATATTAAATGATAAAGTTCAGAGAGCTGAGATGATCACAGTCTACTCTGCTAGTGAACATCCACACATCTTTCTGTGAACTGAGTCAGAAACTAGAGGTGTATTAAAATCCATCCTTTTCATGATTAGATGATAATATGAGGTTTCCCAGTTTATCTGTTTCCAATAAAGTAGTTTAGAATCCCTGAAAGGCTGAAAGGCTCTGCAGAGTTTATTACTGTTTAATGCAGGCTGCTTTTTGGTGTGGCCTTTAAAAAACACAGATTATTTAATTAAGAGTCAAAATAATAAGATATGTATAACACATAATTAATAATGTAATTTTAGTGACAGCGCTGCAGCCCATTAGCACCTTGTACGTTAGCTTACATTAATAAGTATTCAAACTGTGTAAATTAACTGATATCTATATAGTTTATTTCTGCAAATACAATTATTAGCAACAACAGCAATTTATCCCGCTTAGGTTTCTTCACTGATCTATGTTGCTCTGGAAAACAGTCTAATTACAGTTAAACAACCTCTCAGTTACTTACATATACAAACACAAAGACAGTCAGACAGAGAGAAAGAGAGACCGAGAGTGAGAGTCAGAGAGAGAGAGAGAGAGAGAGAGAGAGAGAGAGAGAGAGAGAGAGAGAGAGAGAGAGAGAGCAGATTTGCCTCTACAGACACTTGTATGATGCCTCTGTAACGACAGAAGCACTAACTAAAAACACTACATGTAGAGAATGTGTAGTGAGGAGAACTGCAGCTCAGTAATGTTTTCCGGGTTTGTTGAACGCTACATGGCGCTCCAGCGCGAGTCCTAAATGAATGGACCCCTGTGGAGATTTTGTACAAATCAGTTTGTAAATGCTTGATGATTATTATACAGAACAGCTCAGTAATTTTCTGTACACAGAACAGCAGAAACATGTCAACACAGCTGTTAAATCTTCTGAACTCTGGTTGTAGACCGTTGGGTGTCTTGTGTACGTTCATGACATCATGTAATCAGTACTCACGATCAGTAATACCAACCAATCAGTACTCACTACCAGTAACGCCAACCAATCAACGCTCACTAACAGTAACGCCAACCAAACAGTACTCACTACCAGTAATGCCAACCAGTCAACGCTCACTACCAGTAATGCCAACCAATCAGTACTCACTACCAGTAATGCCAACCAGTCAACGCTCACTACCAGTAATGCCAACCAATCAGTACTCACTACCAGTAATGCCAACCAATCAGCACTCACTACCAGTAACGCCAACCAATCAATGCTCACCACCAGAATGCCAACCAATTAGCGCTCACTACCAGTAACGCCAACCAAATTGAATACATTCTTCTACTTTACACAATTAAAGGAACAAATGTTTTCTAACAAACAGTCTAACAAATTTCTATTTAGTCCAGCAAATTAATCCTCCACCCACAGTCTGGTCTGATCACTGTTTAGGACAGTAAGTCTAAAAAACAGAAAGTGAAAAACAAACCTGAGCGTGACAGAATTATTGTCCAGAGTTTATGGGGAACCTGTCTAAACTAGATTTTCTGTAGGTCTGAAATGATCATTGTAGGTGTAATAACATCATTTAGTCACTGGATGGCAGCAGTGAGCAGATGATGTCAGGTTTTGAGCAGGGCTGATGATGTCTTATGAGAAACTGCACCTTAGCTAAAGTCCACAGGAGCTCAGAGGAGAGTGGACAGGTCAGTGTGTTAGAGAGGATGGTCAAATATAATTTTATCCTCATGCTGTTATTTATCTCTCTCAGAATGTTCAGCACACACACTGCTGCCCCCCAGTGATCAAATGAAGACAATTCATCTACACTGATTCTAAGGTACTTTAGTTTATGTTCTGTTTGATTACTGTCAAAATTAATTTTACATAACATATAAATCATTATTGTAGGTTCAGCTCATCTATTCATGTTTTATGCCACTCTCAATAAAGACCGTCTCAGACCAACAGTCATATCTAAAAATGCATTTTCAGCTCTGTTCTCTTCTCCTCCCTGCTGTCACTGCAGTCTTGTAGAAGAGCAGAGGCTGCATAGTGAACTAAACATGAATAAATAACAACTACAGAATCTAAAAGCTGCTTCAAAGCTTTTAGTATGTTTTCACACCACACTATTTAGATAATAATAAATATAAAACAATAAAAAACACCAGGTCAGATAAAATAAAACAGGCAGAAATATATAAACTAATATGATCAATTACAGTGAATGTATATAAAAAAATGGTGTAAATACAAAAATTATCATCTTGAAAACAGGGAGCCTCCAGTCCTGGAGAACCACAGCACTGCACAGTTTATCACTCTGCCTCTCTTAACACACCTGATTCAGCTCATCAGCTGATTATAAAGACTTCATTAGTTGAATCTGCAGAGTTAAAGAGGGAAAACAGTGAAGTCTGCAGAACTGTGACTCTCCAGGACCTCAGTGTGAGACCCTGCTTTTAAAAGTACATTTTAATGCAATGTTCTAAAAATAAAACATATGAATATACAAATAAATTGAATGATGAACACTGAAATGTCTCCTATATACATACATGGTTCAAAGCATCTGATGTCTATTGACAGAACTGACAGAACTGCCTGATTCTGGCTCATTTTTATGTAACTTTTTACAACACTGAAAAAGATACTTCAGAAATAAAAGTAACTCCGTTGATAAGTATTACTGTAAGACAGTATCTGGTTTGTTATGACATTCATAAAACTGTTTAATCACAAAACCCCTCTCATTCTTCATTTCTGGAGCTCTTCTCTTCTGTCTGTGAGGATGAACAACCTGAAAAAATCACATCACAGAAGCTATTATATATTCCAACTAGTGAATAAACAAACAAGTCAACTAAGGTTGAGCATGTTTCACTGGGAGAGTCTGTAAGATGCTAAACACAAAAATGAAAACTAACACAACTAAACACACTCTGCAGGGTAACACACACGCACACACACACACACACACGCACACACACACACACACACACAGAGGCTTAAAGACTGCAGTCTTACTTGTAGAGTGTCATGATCTGAGGTCATGATGGTGGGATTCAGAGCTGTGTATGTGTGGTCTGCAGGATCTGGAGTCTTTTAGAGAGATGAGGAGAACAACTTCAGTCTTTATTCAGTAGCAGCTTTATAGGAGTATGTAGATAGAGAAAGAGTGAAATCCTCTCTCAGTACCTGAATATCTGAGTCTCTCTCTGCTCCTCTCTTCCTCCTGATCACACAAATGACATTTAAAACATGGCTGTTAATCCTTATTTTGATTTATACAAAACAAAGACATCCAGTGTAGACCTGGGCGACAGCGCAATGTAATCAGATACTGTCGATGATGGACAATGAACCTGATGGCAAAAGAACTGAGAGAGGGAAAAGAACTGAGAGAGGATTAATTTGTAATTAAACAGATTATAAATATGTTGGGAAATTGGGGTTCACTTTTAAGACGTGTGTGGAGAGAGAGAGAGAGAGAGAGAGAGAGAGAGAGAACTTTGTTAAGAAGCTCCCTGTTAATTCTCTGCTGTGCGTTAATGCTAGCTTTACTACACAGCTCTCCCCTTATACTTGCTTTTGAACTTGGACTCGCTGCAGTAAAACCTAAAGAAACCATTAAAAAATAATCAATAAAACACAAAAGTATTGTGCACCTTTGAAGTATTTTTAAATATTATTATTTTTAGATATCGCCCAGGCCTATTCCAGTGTAAGAACTTAATTTGAGTGTAAAGTTGAGGTTCTGCTTAATATAATATTTAAAGAAAGGTTCAGATATTCAGAGTAAAATCTACAGAATACAGTCACTCACTTAATGCACAGAACGGCAGTAAGAAGAGAGAGAGCCAGAACAAGAACGACGCCAAAAGCTCCCCAAATGGCATTCAGCGTCCACAACTCAGCTGAGTCTTTAAAAACACCACACGCACACACACACACACACACACACACACACACACACACACACACACACACAGTGCAGTACTGAACAAATGACTCAAATGTTGAACATTCATTACGGTCTGCTGTGAGGAATATGTGTGTCCAGCTATTTAATACAAATAATTTATTCTGATTAGAGAAAAACTAACCAACACAAATAATTAAACATCCTAATGATAATTACTTTAAAGTACTTACGTAACACATCCAGACGGGTGGGTGTTGAGCTGTGCAGTCCTAGCTGGTTGTGAGCGGTGCAGTAGTAGAGTCCACTGTGCTGGGAGCCGATGTTGGTGATGGTGTAATTCTGGCCTGTTGTCAGTGGTGCGTCTGCAGCTGCTCTCTGCTTAAACCAGGAGTAGATGAGAACAGGAGGGTTTGCATCACTGCTGCAGCTCAGAGTCACTGATTCTCCCTCCACTCTCTCTCCAGAGGAAACTACCACTGCTCTGGTGTTTCTAGGAGAGTCTGATTGGAAATGTGATAAAGACACAAACATTTGAGAGTTGGTTACTAATGCCCAGCAAATTTATCCTGTAATTTGAAATTGCCCTTTATGACAATGTACTGTAGATATCTGTGTACATTAGTGCATGTAAAACTGCCCACTCACACACTGGAGGAGAGACGAGGCTCTCATGACCTTCAACAGCACAGCTGTAGCTGACCGCACCACTGACCACAGCTACAGAGCAGGAAGCAGATTTGCAGTGAATCACAAGTTGTCCGTTCTTGTACCAGATGTAAGTGAGGTTGTCTGGCAGAGTGCAGGTGCTGCTACACATCAGTTTCTTTCCTCCACTGTCTGTGTCTGACACTGTAACCTTCAGAACTAATTTTAAATATGTGCTGTTATTTTTTTTGCTGTTATTGTTAATTTCATCAATAGAATATTCTCACAGTTAACGAAACCTATTTTACTTTATGCAGCTCTACCTGTGACAAACAGAGTTACGCCAGGCTGTCCAGTGTATTCACCTCCATCAGTGTAGAATCTGAATATATATGTTTGAGCATCTCTCTTTCTCAGTTGATTGATTCTGATACTACAGTCATTCTGGGAGCTCTGTCTGTACTGCACTCGTCCCTGATACTCCTCATCCTCTCTCACATCCACAGGCTCAGTACCAGCCTGTTCTTTAATGAACCACACTGATTTAGTCACTGTTTGTCCTCCAGGGTAATAAGAGCAGGAGAGATCAACTGATGACCCTTTCAGAGCACAGACACATTCAGGAGTGTAAGTCACACCCCAACACTCTTTACCCAGAACACCTGCAACACACACACACACACACACACACACACACACACACACACACACACAGAGTCAGTAAGAATTAAAGGTAACACGGATAAATGCAAGGCAAGCGTGGACTATTTTTCATCTCATCTTTTGCAGTTTTTAAAAGGAAACAATATTCAAAAATACAGTTTATTTTTTCTTTTTAGTTTGTTTTAGTTTGTTTTAGTTGTATTTAATAGGACCATCCTGCATGTTGTTATTAATGTCTGCAAGTATTGTAGTAACTCTTCTATTATTATTTGAACTCAAGTGCACCCACACTTGGTGCACACTTGGAACTCAAGATCAACCACAGAGCCACCAAGGTCATTTGGAAGCGACTTTATAATTAATATAATTAACCACTTATGTTGTGATTTCCAAAGGACGGGAGCAATTTAATGAGAAAAAACATCACTCTGGAACTAATTTTCCTTAAGCATTAGAACATGCAGCTACATCTGTAGCAGTTTTCAACTTTGTATTTGTTGCATTAGTACCTGTAAAACAGCAAGAACTGATGGTGTGAGTGAACGTTTGCAGACACAGTAGCTAATGGCTCACCAGCATATGGAGCCTGAGTGATCTGAGGTTTAGTGAATGACACTTACACACTGAAGGAGAGCGGTGCCGTTTGCCACTGCTGTCTTCTACCTGACAGGAGTAGCTGCCCTCATCAGATGACCTGGTGGAGTCCAGCACAATAAAGTCATCATCTGTATAGGCCTTGTATACTTCATTTCTGTACCAGTCATAGTTAAGACTTGCATCAAGGCTGCAGGTGGAGCTACAGATCACTTTCACCTTTCTCTGTCCTGCAGTCTTACGATCCACCTTCACCTGCAACTCTACACACATCACATCATACAGCAGAATTCTGCAAATCTCAATTCTTGTTTATGTCTTATATATTTACATGTACAGAGACTCTATAAAAGTGTTGGTGTCTTTGTGTGTTTATTTACCTGTAACAGTCAGATTAACTCCAGATGAAGCTGATATCCAGCCACTGCTTGATGTTCTAAATCTGAAGTTATAAACTCCAGAGTCTCTCAGTCTCACATCCCTCACTGTCAGATCACAGTCATTCCACCATGTACTTACAGAAACTCGTGCTGAGTATTCAGGATCTTTACTCAGGACTCGTTCTTCTCCATCAGAGTTCTGGAACTGATACCACTCTCTCTCTCTGACTCTGGAGGAATCAGCTGTTGTATATTTACAGGAGATTTTTACTGTAGATCCAGTAACAGAACAGAGACTCTGAGAGGAGAGAGTTACACTGTAATGAGCCTGAACCCCTGAAACACACACACACACACACACACACACACACACACACACACGCAAGGAGCATAAGTTAGACATGAGGAGGAAACTCGTGGTGTGACCACAGTGTGAACTCCTGCTGCTGTTGCTATGAGCAACACACGGATGTTTGAAGTTAGCTGGAGGTGTTAAAAACAGAGGAAGTGACCTCAGTTTAAAAGTTGTTCAACGAGTTTATATGAAGCTTTGCACAGTTTAGACACTGATAACATCTCAACTTTAAACACACAAAGCTTTAAATAAACGAGGTTTAGAGTAGATCAGATTTGTACAGTTTAGTATGAACACTGATACAGAAAATCTCTAATTCAAATATAAAAAAGCTTTAACAGGTGATAAAAGTGTGCAGTTATTAATCACTTGTTACTGTTGCTGTTAAATGTCTGAAGCTTGTTTACACATAGTGTAGTCCAGATGTGTTCAGTTCTAGTCCTGAAGCATCAGTGTCCAGCTCAAACTCACCTAATAAACCTGGCAAATATAATCTAAACATAAAATATGTAAAAATGTACCTGTCAGTAATATGAGGATCACTGCTGCTGTGATATTTCCTGATGTTCTAGAAATCATGACAGCTTCACCCTTCAAACACCGCTGATTCTTAAAGGTCTAGAAAATAAAATCAAAATTTGACTGATGAAGTAACAAGGAATGAATTCTGACTAAAATAAATGACCAATCAGAGCCTCTTTCATCTTAAAGAAGTTGATCACTACTCTGCTCACTCTTTCTCGCTCTACACTTGTAAATTATGATCGAACAAACAAAGAACCGGAAGGCACGTTTGTGCATTCTGCACTCAGTTGTCACACCCTCACCATTTTAGCTCTTCCTTTTGTCTCTTTATTCAAGACCACAAGAAGGAGATCTGTCTTGCCCATCCAGAGAGAGCAAGACTAAATACGCTGTCTTGCCACAGACGGCTGTCGCATCACTGTTATTTTTTTTATCGTCTCTGTAACATCTTTAGTTTAAAAGAAGAGTTAAAGATGCTCTGGGTCAGGCTTGGCCTCTCCTCTGTCCTGCATCATCTGTTCTTGTTTCTGTACTTCCTGTTAAATGCCTTGAGCTCTGGTCAGTCAGGTATGAGTTTGCTCAAACTGACTGGTAATGGACTTCTAGGGTTTTATTTACACCTTTATTTTATCTAAACTAATGTTTTTTGGCAACTGTTTTCCCACCAACAGATGCTATAATAATGAGACTGAATGAAGTATGTGTTAAATCCATATGGGGAAATAAGAGGGAAGAGACAAAGAGAGAGGTTTTGCATAGAAATAAGCAAAATGGGGGTCTAGGAGCTGTTAAGATTAGGACTAAATTGAAAATACGTTTGGCAGATATGTGAGCGCTTGTGCAGGTAGAAAAGCAAGATGGATTGGCAACATTAAATAATTACAGAAGCTAAAAGTTGAGAAAATAAAATATGTTCCTCATTCTAAGATTTTATTTGCAGATTTTTTTAGAAAGATATAAGGTTTAAAATATTAATTGGACAACACAGTCAAATAAGTTAATTTATAATTTGATCATACTTAATGAAGTTATACAATTTGGTGATTGTAGTATTTGTTAAATTGGCAGGAATGTAATTTAATCTCAGGGAAACAGAAGGACTTAATGTGTTTAGCTGCTTTAGGTGAACTTCCAGTACGAGATGTAGTGAAATGGAGCTGTTCAGTTAAAACCACCATGTGTCCAATGCCAGAGTGTTCAAAAGAAGAAACTATTGGTCACTTGACTGTTGACTGTTATAGGACAAAGGAAATCTGGGAACAGTTTTCGAAATATGGATAAAACATAGACTGTACTAAGAGAAATATAACATAGATAGAAGGCTATCAGTATTTTAGGGAATTTACTACCATTCCGACTCCTCTCCCACTCGCTGCTGATCATTTTCTGGCACTAACTTTAACTGTTCAGGGGCTTGAACCAATGCTCAAATTGGTAAGGCTCAAGACTCCCTGCCCCACTGAAGATGGGGGGTGGTGGTGGAGAACAATGTTCGACTTCATAAGATCTCTCAGTTGCAGAAGTGCTGTTAGACTCTGTGTCACTATTTTTTCTATATTTTCTAGTAGCTAACGTTAGCTATAAAAACACAGCAGCCCACCCCACCCAGCTTCTCTCCCAGCCCCACCTCCAAACCCAATCACTGCAGTGCCCCTCCCAGAGTGCCCCTGCCATTTTTGAGCATTTTTCAAAGCTGAACTGGGGTGGAGTTTGCTGAAGTAAGGGGGTGTAGTTACACATCTGATATTGCGATGTTACAACATACTTGTACGATGTGACGAATTTTGTAAAAACTGTGGAACGTTTATATCATGTGATATGATGACCTTTGTTGATACAGAAGTGATGGTTTTGATGCATTTTATTGTATATGATTGTATGTATGTTAAAAAGTTCTTTAAAAACTCTTAAGAATCTGATCTGGAAACTGAAGATAATCTTTACTCATCATGGTTTCACAGAGCCTTTAGTCATGAACATCATCCTACAGTTTTCTCCCTCAGAGTGTGAAGCTGAGTCTGGGTAGAGTCTCTGTATGATATCAGTGCTTTTGGATTCTTCTTCAGCAGGATCTTCACTGTTCTCACTGCAGACACACTGTAGCTGTTCCAGTGTTTCTGTGGGATTAAAAATGAATAATATCTTGATCACAAGTCGTGTCTTTAGCAAATACTTCATATTCCACTGTGGGAAAATATGGGTCACTGTCTGCTGTCTGTCAGTAGCTACGTGCTGCAATGCTAGTAAAATTAGAGCTGTTGTTAAGACTATAGCAGTCTTCACCACAACTCACTCCTTCATCTGTTTGTATAACCTGGACAACTTAAAATATGCATGAGTTATACACTCTATACACCATAGGTCTCGAATTCAAGTTACCTGGGGGCAACTGGTGGGGTGGTCTTCTCAAAGGGGGGTCAACTGAAAATAATTTAGGGAAAAAAGTGCTGCATATTTTTTTCAAGCGTGAATTTTAACATTAAAAACTAAAATATGAGGATTTTTTTTTTCCCACTATGAATTTGAACTACACTAGCAAGTTATCAGCAATTCTTCTGAAATATTCTTCTTCTTATTATACTATAACTACACAGTGTTTCAATTAACTTCCATGTAAGAGTAGAATTATATGGGACTCTTATTTCGATAGCATTATCGTTCGTGCTGAACACAAGTGAAGTTTTTGAGAGGTCAAATCTGTTCTCAGCGTGTTTTATAATTTCGTTCATTTCTTAATTCTTGAGCATCAAGTTAGCAATGTTGGTTTTTAAATCAGTTATATAGAATTCCAAGCACCACAGAAGAGCTCGTCCTCACAGTCATGTGTGAAGGCTGAGGCCATATTTTGAAGAAAAAAAAAACATGTTTTTCTGCAATTTAAACTACAATAATCTATACATGACTATGGAATATATAAATTAAATGGCATAAAGAAAACAAATGCCAAATAAACATTCTAAAATATATAATGAAAGTTGTGGTCCCCAGGAGTCGTGTCACTGGTGTTACTACAAAAATCTCTTATTTTGAAATAAAAATCACACTGATGACATCAATTGGCTTTCTGTTTCCTGAGTATCTATTAAGAAAAGCACATGGTGAGTCCACTGTGTCTTTTCAGTTATCAGAAATTTTCTTATTTAGCTCATGATTTCGTATGAAGCTTTTAGTTTAAGTCACTGGTGTGACTTACTTTATTCTTAGGTAGTTGTGAAAAAATAGAATACAAATGGATTAAATTGGGCGGCACGGTGGCGCAGTGGGTAGCGTTGTTATCTCACAGCAAGAATGGCCTGGGTTCGATTCCCGGCTGGGTGACCAGGGTCATTTCTGTGTGGAGTTTGCCTGTTCTCCCCGTGTCTGCGTGGGTTTCCTCCGGGTACTCCGGTTTCCTCCCACAGTCCAAAAACATGCAGTCAGGCTGATTGGACATGCTGAATTGGCCCTAGGAGTGAGTGTGTGTGTGAATGTGTATGTCTGTCTGTCTGCCCTGCGATGGACTGGCGACCTGTCCAGGGTGTATCCTGCCTTCCGCCTAATGACAGCTGGGATAGGCTCCAGCACCCCACCGCGACCCAGAAGGATAAGCGGCTTAGATGATGGATGGATGGATGGATTAAATTGCATATTTTAGTGGATATTCCATGATTGACAACATGTGGTTTGATGCTCTGTAGCAGACATTTCGAAAAATGTATTTTTCATTAAAAATGTCTCTGGTGTTACCTTTCTTATGTGTAACACCAGTGAGGATTAGTGACACCAGTAACACCTACAGAGAGATAGAAAAGTGGACGTTTCTGTAGAATGACCCAAACATTCTAACAATCACGCTTTGGAAGTAGCTAAAAAGTAGTGCACTACTTTTTCTGGAAAAGTAGCTGAATTGTAGCTGCTACAAATTTTGGGAAAGTAGCCAATTACTAATCACTACTAAAAAATCACTACTAATTTTTCAGTAGCTATTCCAACCCTGATCTGGGGTCACAGGTCGCAGGAGGAAGAAGGTCAAGCTTCAGCGTGTGGCTACAGATTCCAGAGGTGGGTAGAGGAGCCCAACAGTCCCAACAAGTAACTGTTTTATATTGTGTCATTCATGTGGAGCTCCACTCTTCCACAGCAGCCCTGGAGCTTTTTAGACTCTCATCTCCCCAACATAGCACAGTCTATACTAACATACAGCATAAATACTCCACTGAGATCAGGAGCTTTTCAGTTTTTATCATATTTTCATAAACATTTCATTAATCAGAAGCATTTAATACAGAAATATTCACTTTGTAGCATTTATTGTTTGCTAGCAAGATGCTAATTTCTATTAGCATGCTTATGGGATTTTTTATAGGATGTTAGCGCCAAGCTAATGATGATGTACCTTCATTTTCCACACTGGACTTAATATTACTTATGGTAGTGTTGACATTTAAAGCTGGTAAGTCATAGATTTAAAATACTCTTTACTTTGTATGTTGCAGTTTTACAGTAAAATCTCTTAAATATTTAAACTTAGAGTCTAATTCTGAAAGTTACTGGATTAGCCTGTTAGCCTGTTAGCTATCTGTCGATCTGGTTGTTAAACAAGATTACATTCTTTTGTAGCATGAATATAGAATGATTTTAGACTGTCTAATTCATATACACACAATTTAATACTGCAAACATGCATTAATTCATTCTCTAATGTTCTACAGTAAAAACTGATTCCTACTAGAAATGACTCATCTGGTATTTTCTTATAGGCTATAAGAACCATGTTAGTGGAGATGCTGTCTGTGAAAATGTAGCTCCTCTGAACGCTTCATCTGAAGTGCACATCAGTACATCTGTTAGGACTGTGTTTTATATCAGTGAGTTTATTTAGTGTCAGGAAAAAAACAAACATTGTTGTTGTCTTTGTTGCCTGCTGCTTAAAAAAATGACTAAAGTATGTCCAAAATATAGAAAACCTGTCTGTAAAGAAATCAGAGATTCAGCATCTATCAGCACTGAAGTCTGTTTGGTGCTGTTCTTCTGTTTTTAGACCCTTTTGATCTAAAATTACATGCTAAATCTAGAAAGTAAGTTTTAAGCAACAGCAAAGCAGAACAGATGCTGAACCAGTAGAACAGAATGAGACACAAAAAGAGAATTAGTAACTTAATATGAATGTCTAAAGTAGAACTGAGTAAAAAGTCGATCAGTTTCCTCACAAATAGACTTGAGTAGAAGTAAAACTGTGACTCACTGAGGTACAAATCAATCAAAAGTTTACAGAGGTACAAGTAACTGAGTAAATATAACTAGTTATCTTTACTCAGTTACTTATTTTATTTAAATACTCCACTGTAGATGCTTTGTAGATGGATTCAACTAAATAGTCTTTTAAATTCATATTACAAACTCTAACTCACTAACTCAACCTGGTCTTAATCCTCACTCTGACTTTAGGATTAACTCAAAGTCTTAATCCTAATCTTGGTCCTAAAGCTGACCCTGGTCCAAAAACCCTCCAATACTGTTGAGAATCTACTGAGTTTCAGGTAGTTTGTTAACAGTTTGAACATTTGTAGATAATCTATTGTGGGCTGTTCAGATAAAGTGGAACAGGTTTAGTGCATTTGTGCATGTTTGTGGAATGAGATGAGAAAGTTAAGGTTAATTGTTTCTAGGTTTTATTTGTTGTAACAGGAGATCTGGATGTTTGTAAGATGTATTTTGAAGATATTTCCATTTGCAGTGTCTCATCACACTTTCTGTGTTTTTGCAGGTCTCACACTGGATCTGTCGTCTCCTACATTCGTTGCAGATAAATATAAAAATGCTTAAACTGCTATGCAGCTTTATATTACTTGTAGCTGTAAAAATAGATTCCAGAGTCTAAAATCAGGAGAAAGCTGTAGACGCCCCCAAATTATTTTAAACATTAGTTCTTAAAATCTGTGACACAGTAATCAAATCCTGAGATCCGGTGTTGACCAGAGGAGGATGGGTTCCCCTTTTGAGTCTTGGTTCCTCTCAAGGTTTCTTCCTCTTGTTCTGAGGGAGTTTTTTCTTGCTCATCTGGGGCTCGGACCCGGATTTTCTGTAAAGCTGCTTTGTAACAGAGCCTGTTATAAAAAGCAATAAATAAATATGTCTTGAATTAAACTGAAATGAAGAGAGAACAATGATTACATTTACAGACTCACTAGATACATGATCCACAGTTCCATTTACAGAAATTTCTAAAAATAATACTAGAACATTTACTTCTTAAGAGTGTTTCTGTTGTTCATAAGTTTATTAACTATTAAAATTAAACTTTTTTTTTTACCAAAAGTCATTTTCATGCAGAGAACTATTTATAATTTTTACACAACAAATTATTGTCTTATACAGTTTGTTTACTTGTGTTTTTTCAGTGTTGTTCTTCACAGTGTGGACTAAAGAGTAAAGAGGGAGATAAACAACTGAACAGCTAATGTAGTTTATCTGTATAGAAATGAAACAGAACATGATAAAGTAACAACATGTCAAATCACTTTAACAACACAATAATCTCTCATAGTCACTGCACTAAAACTGATGCAGTGAGATTAGCTTTAGCTAATAATGCTAATAAAGCTAACCAGTCCGTGTGGACGGTCATCAAAGTGTCCATCCGCAGGTCTCACTGTTAACTGCAGTGCTGCTCCATCACACAGACGAATGCAGGTAGAAAGAGAAGGATAAAGAGAGAAATCTGTGCTGAGAGGGTCTGTTAGTGCTTTTTAGACATACAGACAGATTGATTTACCCATCACACTGTTTTATTAGCAGAGAGTCATTAGATATTAGTTTAATTAGCAGATAATTAAGTTAGCTCTGTCAGTAATCTTCCATTCTTTACCAGATATTTTTCTTTATTTTGGTCAATTATGTCTATAATTACAAGGGGTTGGAATAACCAGAAGCCCCTGATTATGATACTATCATGACATTTATAAGCTAATAAGGAATAAAAAGTAAGGTGAGAAAAGAGAAAGTGAGACATCTCTCAACAAGTAATAAAATAACTGAACTATGAGAGTGCTGCCCTCCAGTGACTAAATTATGTTATTACTCCTACAATCATTTTAATTACAGTCTAAGATAAAACTCTGTATTAATAAATCATAATTAAACACGTGTAAAGATCTGCTGTTTTTGGAACAATCTAGTGTTTCTAAAATCAACGTTCTGTTTCTGAAACATTAATATTAAATGTATTTGCACCTCTGAATATTAATCACTCCACCTATAAAGATCCTCAAAGGAGCATCTGTTGATTTGTTGGGGATCAATGTTAAAGTCAGAGAGTCTCAGCTCTGGATCATTATGTGTGTTGATTTATTGATTATTGATCAGAGCTGTTCACTGTGATTAAAGATGATGAATTTATCTCAGACTCCAACAGGGTCACTTTCCTGGAGCTGTCCAGAGTGCTGAACTCACCTCTTACTGACCATAACTGGTCATTTTATTCTTTTTTTTTTCTTTATTTATTTATAGTCTGAAAAATGTTAGTTTTTGGAAATGTGAGCTATTTTAATGCAGCATAAACAGTAATAATGAACTAAACAGCTGAACAGAGAATCATCCAGGATCTTCTGAGACAGTGAAAGTCACCTCTGCAGGTGTTGCTCAGATATCGGTCATCGTCTCCAGCAGGTCCAGAATCTCTTCAGAGCAGAAAAGATCATCTTCAGATGAAACTATGGCATCATAGTGGAGTCAGTTCAAGGTCGAGTATGTAGAGGTTTCACTGTGGCCTCTTTATCAGAGGTGGAGTGACTATCAACAGAGCTCTGTGGTGGTCTTATTAAATTAAATGTACAGTGGAGGAAATAAGCAGGAGTGGAGTTCTGAAAATCATTACTTACTTCATTACAAGTATTAGTGAAGAAAATTACAAGTAAGAGTAAATATGTAGTTTACTGTAAAACTACTTGAGTATTTGAGTTACTTTTTTGTACATCTGCATCACAACCTGAGTATATTCACAAACTATTTTAAATAATCTGTATAAACAAAATTGAAGCCAAACATGATATTAAATGATAAAGTTCAGAGAGCTGAGATGATCACAGTCTACTCTGCTAGTGAACATCCACACATCTTTCTGTGAACTGAGTCAGAAACTAGAGGTGTATTAAAATCCATCCTTTTCATGATTAGATGATTATATGTGGTTTCCCAATTTATCTGTTTCCAATAAAGTAGTTTAGAATCCCTGAAAGGCTGAAAGGCTCTGTTTATTACTGTTTAATGCAGGCTGCTTTTTGGTGTGGCCTTTAAAAACACAGATTATTTAATTAAGAGTCAAAATAATAAGATATGTATAACACATAATTAATAATGTAATTTTAGTGACAGCGCTACAGCCCATTAGCACCTTGTATGTTAGCTTACATTAATAAGTACTCAAACTGTGTAAATTAACTGATATCTATATAGTTTATTTCTGCAAATACAATTATTAGCAACAACAGCAATTTATCCCGCTTAGGTTTATTCCTAAGTATTCCATACTCCAGAGGTATGTTCCTCTGGAAAACAGTCTAATTACAGTTAAACAACCTCTCAGTTACTTACATATACAAACACAAAGACAGTCAGACAGAGAGAAAAAGATACTTCAGAAATAAAATAACTCAGTTGATAAATATTACTGTAAGACAGTATCTGGTTTGTTATGACATTCATAAAACTGTTTAATCACAAAACCCCTCTCATTCTTCATTTCTGGAGCTCTTCTCTTCTCTGTGAGGATGAACAACCTGAAAAAATCACATCACAGAAGCTATTATATATTCCAACTAGTGAATAAACAAACACGTCAACTAAGGTTGAGCATGTTTCACTGGGAGAGTCTGTAAGATGCTAAACACAAAAATGAAAACTAACACAACTAAACACACTCTGCAGGGTAACACACACGCACACGCACACACACACACACACACACAGAGGCTTAAAGACTGCAGTCTTACTTGTAGAGTGTTATGATCTGAGGTCAAGGTGGTGGGATTCAAAGCTGTGTCTTTTAGAGAGATGAGGAGAACAACTTCAGTCTTTATTCAGTAGCAGCTTTATAGGAGTATGTAGAGAAAGAGTGAAATCCTCTCTCAGTACCTGAATATCTGAGTCTCTCTCTGCTCCTCTCTTCCTCCTGATCACACAAATGACATTTAAAACATGGCTGTTAATCCTTATTTTGATTTATACAAAACAAAGACATCCAGTGTAGGCCTGGGCGACAGCGCAATGTAATCAGATACTGTCGATGATGGACAATGAACCTGATGGCAAAAGAACTGAGAGAGGGAAAAGAACTGAGAGAGGATTAATTTGTAATTAAACAGATTATAAATATGTTGGGAAATTGGGGTTCACTTTTAAGACATGTGTGGAGAGAGAGAGAGAGAGAGAGAGAGTGAGAGAGAGAGAGAGAGAGAGAGAGAGAGAGAGAGAGAGAACTTTGTTAAGAAGCTCCCTGTTAATTCTCTGCTGTGCGTTAATGCTAGCTTTACTACACAGCTCTCCCCTTATACTTGCTTTAGAACTTGGACTCGCTGCAGTTCAAAAAATCCAAAAAAAACCTAAAGAAACCATTGAAAAATAATCAATAAAACACAAAAGTATTGTGCACCTTTGAAGTATTTTTAAATATTATTATTTTTAGATATCGCCCAGGCCTAATCCAGTGTAAGAACTTAATTTGAGTGTAAAGTTGAGGTTCTGCTTAATATAATATTTAAAGAAAGGTTCAGATATTCAGAGTAAAATCTACAGAATACAGTCACTCACTTAATGCACAGAACGGCAGTAAGAAGAGAGAGAGCCAGAACAGGAACGACTCCAACAGCTCCCCAAACAGCATTCAGCTTCCACAACTCAGCTGAGTCTTTAAAAACACCACACGCACACACACACACACACACACACACACACAATGCAGCACTGAACAAATGACTCAAATGTTGAACATTCATTACGGTCTGCTGTGAGGAATATGTGTGTCCAGCTATTTAATACAAATAATTTATTCTGATTAGAGAAAAACTGACCAACACAAATAATTAAACATCCTAATGATAGTTACTTTAAAGTACTTACGTAACACATCCAGACGGGTGGGTGTTGAGCTGTGCAGTCCTAGCTGGTTGTGAGCAGTGCAGTAGTAGAGTCCACTGTGCTGGGAGCTGATGTTGGTGATGGTGTAATTCTGGCCTGTTGTCAGTGGTGCGTCTGCAGCTGCTCTCTGCTTAAACCAGGAGTAGATGAGAACAGGAGGGTCTGCATCACTGCTGCAGCTCAGAGTCACTGATTCTCCCTCCACTCTCTCTCCAGAGGAAACTACCACTGCTCTGGTGTTTCTAGGAGAGTCTGAATGGAAATGTGATAAAGATACAAACATTTGAGAGTTGGTTACTAATGCCCAGCAAATTTATCCTGTAATTTGAAACTGCCCTTTATGAAAATGTACTGTAGATATCTGTGTACATTAGTGCATGTAAAACTGCCCACTCACACACTGGAGGAGAGACGAGGCTCTCATGACCTTCAACAGCACAGCTGTAGCTGACCGCACCACTGACCACAGCTACAGAGCAGGAAGCAGATTTGCAGTGAATCACAAGTTGTCCGTTCTTGTACCAGATGTAAGTGAGGTTGTCTGGCAGAGTGCAGGTGCTGCTACACATCAGTTTCTTTCCTCCACTGTCTGTGTCTGACACTGTAACCTTCAGAACTAATTTGAAACATTTGCTGTTATTTTTTTGCTGTTATTGTTAATTTCATCAATAGAATATTCTCACAGTTAACGAAACCTATTTTACTTTATGCAGCTCTACCTGTGACAAATAGAGTTACGCCAGGCTGTCCAGTGTATTCACCTCCATCAGTGTAGAATCTGAATATATATGTTTGAGCATCTCTCTTTCTCAGTTGATTGATTCTGATACTACAGTCATTCTGGGAGCTCTGTCTGTACTGCACTCGTCCCTGATACTCCTCATCCTCTCTCACATCCACAGGCTCAGCACCAGCCTGCTCTTTAATGAACCACACTGATTTAGTCACTGTTTGTCCTCCAGGGTTATAAGAGCAGGAGAGATCAACTGATGATCCTTTCAGAGCACACACACATTCAGGAGTGTAAGTCACACCCCAACACTCTTTACCCAGAACACCTGCAACACACACACACACACACACACACACACACACACACACACACACACACACAGAGTCAGTAAGAATTAAAGGTAACGCGGATAAATGCAAGGCAAGTGTGGACTATTTTTCATCTCATCTTTTGTAGTTTTTAAAAGGAAACAATATTCAAAAATACAGTTTATTTTTTCTTTTTAGTTTGTTTTAGTTTGTTTTAGTTGTATTTAATAGGACCATCCTGCATGTTGTTATTAATGTCTGCAAGTATTGTAGTAACTCTTCTATTATTATTTGAACTCAAGTGCACCCACACTTGGTGCACACTTGGAACTCAAGATCAACCACAGAGCCACTAAGGTCATTTGGAAGCGACTTTATAATTAATATAATTAACCACTTATGTTGTGATGTCCAAAGGACGGGAGCAATTTAATGAGAAAAAACATCACTCTGGAACTAATTTTCCTTAAGCATTAGAACATGCAGCTACATCTGTAGCAGTTTTCAACTTTGTATTTGTTACATTAGTACCTGTAAAACAGCAAGAACTGATGGTGTGAGTGAACGTTTGCAGACACAGTAGCTAATGGCTCACCAGCATATGGAGCCTGAGTGATCTGAGGTTTAGTGAATGACACTTACACACTGAAGGAGAGTGGTGCCGTTTACCGCTGCTGTCTTCTACCTGACAGGAGTAGCTGCCCTCATCAGATGACCTGGTGGAGTCCAGCACAATAAAGGCATCATCTGTATAGGCCTTGTATACTTCATTTCTGTACCAGTCATAGTTAAGATTTGCATCAAGGCTGCAGGTGGAGCTACAGATCACTTTCACCTTTCTCTCTCCTGCAGTCTCACGATCCACCTTCACCTGCAACTCTACACACATCACATCATATACCAGAATTCTGCAAATCTCAGTTCTTGTTTATGTCTTATATATTTACATGTACAGAGACTCTATAAAAGTGTTGGTGTCTTTGTGTGTTATTTACCTGTAACAGTCAGATTAACTCCAGATGAAGCTGATATCCAGTCACTGCTTGATGTTCTAAATCTGAAGTTATAAACTCCAGAGTCTCTCACTCTCACATCCCTCACTGTCAGATCACAGTCATTCCACCATGTACTTACAGAAACTCGTGCTGAGTATTGAGGATCTTTAGTCAAGACTCGTTCTTCTCCATCAGAGCTCTGGAGCTGATACCACTCTCTCTCTCTGACTCTGGAGGAATCAGCTGTTGTATATTTACAGGAGATTTTTACTGTAGATCCAGTAACAGCACAGAGACTCTGAGAGGAGAGAGTTACACTGTGCTGAGCCTGAACTCCTGAAACACACACACACACACACACACACACATACACACACATACATACACACACACACACACACGCAAGGAGCATAAGTTAGACATGAGGAGGAAACTCGTGGTGTGACCACAGTGTGAACTCCTGCTGCTGTTGCTATGAGCAACACACGGATGTTTGAAGTTAGCTGGAGGTGTTAAAAACAGAGGAAGTGACCTCAGTTTAAAAGTTGTTTAACGGGTTTATATGAAGCTTTGCACAGTTTAGACACTGATAACATGTCAACTTTAAATACACAAAGCTTTAAATAAACGAGGTTTAGAGTAGATCAGATTTGTACAGTTTAGTATGAACACTGATACAGAAAATCTCTAATTCAAATATAAAAAAGCTTTAACAGGTGATAAAAGTGTGCAGTTATTAATCACTTGTTACTGTTGCTGTTAAATGTTTTTTTTCTTCTGAAGCTTGTTTACACATAGTGTAGTCCAGATGTGTTCAGTTCTAGTCCTGAAGCATCAGTGTCCAGCTCAAACTCACCTAATAAACCTGGCAAATATAATCTAAACATAAAATATGTAAAAATGTACCTGTCAGTAATATGAGGATCACTGCTGCTGTGATATTTCCTGATGTTCTGGAAATCATGACGCCTTCACCCTTCAAACACTGCTGATTCTTAAAGATCTAGCAAATAAAATCAAAATTTGACTGATGAAGTAACAAGGAATGAATTCTGACTAAAATAAATGACCAATCAGAGCCTCTTTCATCTTAAAGAAGTTGATCACTACTCTGCTTACTGTTTCTCGCTCTACACTTGTAAATTATGATCGAACAAAGAACTGGAAGGCACGTTTGTGCATTCTGCACTCAGTCGTCACACCCTCACCCTTTTAGCTCTTCCTTTTGTCTCTTTATTCAAGACCACAGGAAGGAGATCTGTCTTGCCCATCCAGAGAGAGCAAGACTAAATACGCTGTCTTGCCACAGACGGCTGTCGCATCACTGTTATTTGTTTTATCGTCTCTGTAACATCTTTAGTTTAAAAGAAGAGTTAAAGATGCTCTGGGTCAGGCTTGGCCTCTCCTCTGTCCTGCATCATGTGTTCTTGTTTCTGTACTTCCTGTTAAATGCCTTGAGCTCTGGTCAGTCAGGTATGAGTTTGCTCAAACTGACTGGTAATGGACTTCTAGGGTTTTATTTACACCTTTATTTTATCTAAACTAATGTTTTTTGGCAACTGTTTTCCCACCAACAGATGCTATAATAATGAGACTGAATGAAATATGTGTTAAATCCATATGGGGAAATAAGAGGGAAGAGACAAAGAGAGAGGTTTTGCATAGAAATAAGCAAAATGGGGGTCTAGGAGCTGTTAAGATTAGGACTAAATTGAAAATACATTTGGCAGATATGTGAGCGCTTGTGCAGGTAGAAAAGCAAGATGGATTGGCAACATTAAATAATTACAGAAGCTAAAAGTTGAGAAAATAAAATATGTTCCTCATTCTAAGATTTTATTTGCAGATTTTTTTAGAAAGATATAAGGTTTAAAATATTAATTGGACAACACAGTCAAATAAGTTAATTTATAATTTGATCATACTTAATGAAGTTATACAATTTGGTGATTGTAGTATTTGTTAAATTGGCAGGAATGTAATTTAATCTCAGGGAAACAGAAGGACTTAATGTGTTTAGCTGCTTTAGGTGAACTTCCAGTACGAGATGTAGTGAAATGGAGCTGTTCAGTTAAAACCACCATGTGTCCAATGCCAGAGTGTTCAAAAGAAGAAACTATTGGTCACTTGACTGTTGACTGTTATAGGACAAAGGAAATCTGGGAACAGTTTTCGAAATATGGATAAAACATAGACTGTACTAAGAGAAATATAACATAGATAGAAGGCTATCACTATTTTAGGGAATTTACTACCATTCCGACTCCTCTCCCACTCGCTGCTGATCATTTTCTGGTACTAACTTTAACTGTTCAGGGGCTTGAACCAATGCTCAAATTGGTAAGGCTCAAGACTCCCTGCCCCACTGAAGATGGGGGGTGGTGGTGGAGAACAATGTTCGACTTCATAAGATCTCTCAGTTGCAGAAGTGCTGTTAGACTCTGTCTCACTATTTTTTCTATATTTTCTAGTAGCTAACGTTAGCTATAAAAACACAGCAGCCCACCCCACCCAGCTCCTCTCCCAGCCCCACCTCCAAACCCAATCACTGCAGTGCCCCTCCCAGAGTGCCCCTGCCATTTTTGAGCATTTTTCAAAGCTGAACTGGGGTGGAGTTTGCTGAAGTAAGGGGGTGTAGTTACACATCTGATATTGCGATGTTACAACATACTTGTACGATGTGACGAATTTTGTAAAAACTGTGGAACGTTTATATCATGTGATATGATGACCTTTGTTGATACAGAAGTGATGGTTTTGATGCATTTTATTGTATATGATTGTATGTATGTTAAAAAGTTCTTTAAAAACTCTTAAGAATCTGATCTGGAAACTGAAGATAATCTTTACTCATCATGGTTTCACAGAGCCTTTAGTCATGAACATCATCCTACAGTTTTCTCCCTCAGAGTGTGAAGCTGAGTCTGGGTAGAGTCTCTGTATGATATCAGTGCTTTTGGATTCTTCTTCAGCAGGATCTTCACTGTTCTCACTGCAGACACACTGTAGCTGTTCCAGTGTTTCTGTGGGATTAAAAATGAATAATATCTTGATCACAAGTCGTGTCTTTAGCAAATACTTCATATTCCACTGTGGGAAAATATGGGTCACTGTCTGCTGTCTGTCAGTAGCTACGTGCTGCAATGCTAGTAAAATTAGAGCTGTTGTTAAGACTATAGCTGTCTTCACCACAACTCACTCCTTCATCTGTTTGTATAACCTGGACAACTTAAAATATGCATGAGTTATACACTCTATACACCATAGGTCTCGAATTCAAGTTACCTGGGGGCAACTGGTGGGGTGGTCTTCTCAAAGGGGGGTCAACTGAAAATAATTTAGGGAAAAAAGTGCTGCATATTTTTTTCAAGCGTGAATTTTAACATTAAAAACTAAAATATGAGGATTTTTTTTTCCTACTATGAATTTGAACTACACTAGCAAGTTATCAGCAATTCTTCTGACATATTCTTCTTCTTATTATACTATAACTACACAGTGTTTCAATTAACTTCCATGTAAGAGTAGAATTATATGGGACTCTTATTTCGATAGCATTATCGTTCGTGCTGAACACAAGTGAAGTTTTTGAGAGGTCAAATCTGTTCTCAGCGTGTTTTATAATTTCGTTCATTTCTTAATTCTTGAGCATCAAGTTAGCAATGTTGGTTTTTAAATCAGTTATATAGAATTCCAAGCACCACAGAAGAGCTCGTCCTCACAGTCATGTGTGAAGGCTGAGGCCATATTTTGAAGAAAAAAAAACATGTTTTTCTGCAATTTTAACTACAATAATCTATACATGACTATGGAATATATAAATTAAACAGCATAAAGAAAACAAATGCCAAATAAATATTCTAAAATATATAATGAAAGTTGTGGTCCCCAGGAGTCGTGTCACTGGTGTTACTACAAAAATCTCTTATTTTGAAATAAAAATCACACTGATGACATCAATTGGCTTTCTGTTTCCTGAGTATCTATTAAGAAAAGCACATGGTGAGTCCACTGTGTCTTTTCAGTTATCAGAAATTTTCTCATTTAGCTCATGATTTCGTATGAAGCTTTTAGTTTAAGTCACTGGTGTGACCTACTTTATTCTTAGGTAGTTGTGGAAAAATAGAATACAAATGGATTAAATTGCATATTTTAGTGGATATTCCATGATTGACAACATGTGGTTTGATGTTCTGTAGCAGACATTTCGAAAAATGTATTTTTCATTAAAAATGTCTCTGGTGTTACCTTTCTTATGTGTAACACCAGTGAGGATTAGTGACACCAGTAACACCTACAGAGAGATAGAAAAGTGGACATTTCTGTAGAATGACCCAAACATTCTAACAATCACGCTTTGGAAGTAGCTAAAAAGTAGTGCACTACTTTTTCTGGAAAAGTAGCTGAATTGTAGCTGCTACAAATTTTGGGAAAGTAGCCAATTACTAATCACTACTAAAAAATCACTACTAATTTTTCAGTAGCTATTCCAACCCTGATCTGGGGTCACAGGTCGCAGGAGGAAGAAGGTCAAGCTTCAGCGTGTGGCTACAGATTCCAGAGGTGGGTAGAGGAGCCCAACAGTCCCAACAAGTAACTGTTTTATATTGTGTCATTCATGTGGAGCTCCACTCTTCCACAGCAGCCCTGGAGCTTTTTAGACTCTCATCTCCCCAACATAGCACAGTCTATACTAACATACAGCATAAATACTCCACTGAGATCAGGAGCTTTTCAGTTTTTATCATATTTTCATAAACATTTCATTAATCAGAAGCATTTAATACAGAAATATTCACTTTGTAGCATTTATTGTTTGCTAGCAAGATGCTAATTTCTATTAGCATGCTTATGGGATTTTTTTATAGGATGTTAGCGCCAAGCTAATGATGATGTACCTTCATTTTCCACACTGGACTTAATATTACTTATGGTAGTGTTGACATTTAAAGCTGGTAAGTCATAGATTTAAAATACTCTTTACTTTGTATGTTGCAGTTTTACAGTAAAATCTCTTAAATATTTAAACTTAGAGTCTAATTCTGAAAGTTACTGGATTAGCCTGTTAGCCTGTTAGCTATCTGTCGATCTGGTTGTTAAACAAGATCACATTCTTTTGTAGCATGAATATAGAATGATTTTAGACTGTCTGATTCATATACACACAATTTAATACTGCAAACATGCATTAATTCATTCTCTAATGTTCTACAGTAAAAACTGATTCCTACTAAAAATGACTCATCTGGTATTTTCTTATAGGCTGTAAGAACCATGTTAGTAGAGATGCTGTCTGTGAAAATGTAGCTCCTCTGAACGCTTCATCTGAAGTGCACATCAGTACATCTGTTAGGACTGCGTTTTATATCAGTGAGTTTATTTAGTGTCGGGAAAAAAACAAACATTGTTATTGTCTTTGTTGCCTGCTGCTTAAAAAAATGACTAAAGTATGTCCAAAATATAGAAAACCTGTCTGTAAAGAAATCAGAGATTCAGCATCTATCAGCACTGAAGTCTGTTTGGTGCTGTTCTTCTGTTTTTAGACCCTTTTGACCTAAAATTACATGCTAAATCTAGAAAGTAAGTTTTAAGCAACAACAAAGCAGAACAGATGCTGAACCAGTAGAACAGAATGAGACACAAAAAGAGAATTAGTAACTTAATATGAATGTCTAAAGTAGAACTGAGTAAAAAGTCGATCAGTTTCCTCACAAATAGACTTGAGTAGAAGTAAAACTGTGACTCACTGAGGTACAAATCAATCAAAAGTTTACAGAGGTACAAGTAACTGAGTAAATATAACTAGTTATCTTTACTCAGTTACGTATTTTATTTAAATACTCCACTGTAGATGCTTTGTAGATGGATTCAACTAAATAGTCTTTTAAATTCATATTACAAACTCTAACTCACTAACTCAACCTGGTCTTAAGCCTCACTCTGACTTTAGGATTAACTCAAAGTCTTAATCCTAATCTTGGTCCTAAAGCTGACCCTGGTCCAAAAACCCTCCAATACTGTTGAGAATCTACTGAGTTTCAGGTAGTTTGTTAACAGTTTGAACATTTGTAGATAATCTATTGTGGGCTGTTCAGATAAAGTGGAACAGGTTTAGTGCATTTGTGCATGTTTGTGGAATGAGATGAGAAAGTTAAGGTTAATTGTTTCTAGGTTTTATTTGTTGTAACAGGAGATCTGGATGTTTGTAAGATGTATTTTGAAGATATTTCCATTTGCAGTGTCTCATCACACTTTCTGTGTTTTTGCAGGTCTCACACTGGATCTGTCGTCTCCTACATTCGTTGCAGATAAATATAAAAATGCTTAAACTGCTATGCAGCTTTGTATTACTTGTAGCTGTAAAAATAGATTCCAGAGTCTAAAATCAGGAGAAAGCTGTAGACGCCCCCAAATTATTTTAAACATTAGTTCTTAAAATCTGTGACACAGTAATCAAATCCTGAGATCCGGTGTTGACCAGAGGAGGATGGGTTCCCCTTTTGAGTCTTGGTTCCTCTCAAGGTTTCTTCCTCTTGTTCTGAGGGAGTTTTTTCTTGCTCATCTGGGGCTCGGACCCGGATTTTCTGTAAAGCTGCTTTGTAACAGAGCCTGTTATAAAAAGCAATAAATAAATATGTCTTGAATTAAACTGAAATGAAGAGAGAACAATGATTACATTTACAGACTCACTAGATACATGATCCACAGTTCCATTTACAGAAATTTCTAAAAATAATACTAGAACATTTACTTCTTAAGAGTGTTTCTGTTGTTCATAAGTTTATTAACTATTAAAATTAAACTTTTTTTTTTTACCAAAAGTCATTTTCATGCAGAGAACTATTTATAATTTTTACACAACAAATTATTGTCTTATACAGTTTGTTTACTTGTGTTTTTTCAGTGTTGTTCTTCACAGTGTGGACTAAAGAGTAAAGAGGGAGATAAACAACTGAACAGCTAATGTAGTTTATCTGTATAGAAATGAAACAGAACATGATAAAGTAACAACATGTCAAATCACTTTAACAACACAATAATCTCTCATAGTCACTGCACTAAAACTGATGCAGTGAGATTAGATATAATAATGCTAATAAAGCTAACCAGTCCGTGTGGACGGTCATCAAAGTGTCCATCCGCAGGTCTCACTGTTAACTGCAGTGCTGCTCCATCACACAGACGAATGCAGGTAGAAAGAGAAGGATAAAGAGAGAAATCTGTGCTGAGAGGGTCTGTTAGTGCTTTTTAGACATACAGACAGATTGATTTACCCATCACACTGTTTTATTAGCAGAGAGTCATTAGATATTAGTTTAATTAGCAGATAATTAAGTTAGCTCTGTCAGTAATCTTCCATTCTTTACCAGATATTTTTCTTTATTTTGGTCAATTATGTCTATAATTACAAGGGGTTGGAATAACCAGAAGCCCCTGATTATGATACTATCATGACATTTATAAGCTAATAAGGAATAAAAAGTAAGGTGAGAAAAGAGAAAGTGAGACATCTCTCAACAAGTAATAAAATAACTGAACTATGAGAGTGCTGCCCTCCAGTGACTAAATTATGTTATTACTCCTACAATCATTTTAATTACAGTCTAAGATAAAACTCTGTATTAATAAATCATAATTAAACACGTGTAAAGATCTGCTGTTTTTGGAACAATCTAGTGTTTCTAAAATCAACGTTCTGTTTCTGAAACATTAATATTAAATGTATTTGCACCTCTGAATATTAATCACTCCACCTATAAAGATCCTCAAAGGAGCATCTGTTGATTTGTTGGGGATCAATGTTAAAGTCAGAGAGTCTCAGCTCTGGATCATTATGTGTGTTGATTTATTGATTATTGATCAGAGCTGTTCACTGTGATTAAAGATGATGAATTTATCTCAGACTCCAACAGGGTCACTTTCCTGGAGCTGTCCAGAGTGCTGAACTCACCTCTTACTGACCATAACTGGTCATTTTATTCTTTTTTTTATTCTTTATTTATTTATAGTCTGAAAAATGTTAGTTTTTGGAAATGTGAGCTATTTTAATGCAGCATAAACAGTAATAATGAACTAAACAGCTGAACAGAGAATCATCCAGGATCTTCTGAGACAGTGAAAGTCACCTCTGCAGGTGTTGCTCAGATATCGGTCATCGTCTCCAGCAGGTCCAGAATCTCTTCAGAGCAGAAAAGATCATCTTCAGATGAAACTATGGCATCATAGTGGAGTCAGTTCAAGGTCGAGTATGTAGAGGTTTCACTGTGGCCTCTTTATCAGAGGTGGAGTGACTATCAACAGAGCTCTGTGGTGGTCTTATTAAATTAAATGTACAGTGGAGGAAATAAGCAGGAGTGGAGTTCTGAAAATCATTACTTACTTCATTACAAGTATTAGTGAAGAAAATTACAAGTAAGAGTAAATATGTAGTTTACTGTAAAACTACTTGAGTATTTGAGTTACTTTTTTGTACATCTGCATCACAACCTGAGTATATTCACAAACTATTTTAAATAATCTGTATAAACAAAATTGAAGCCAAACATGATATTAAATGATAAAGTTCAGAGAGCTGAGATGATCACAGTCTACTCTGCTAGTGAACATCCACACATCTTTCTGTGAACTGAGTCAGAAACTAGAGGTGTATTAAAATCCATCCTTTTCATGATTAGATGATTATATGTGGTTTCCCAATTTATCTGTTTCCAATAAAGTAGTTTAGAATCCCTGAAAGGCTGAAAGGCTCTGTTTATTACTGTTTAATGCAGGCTGCTTTTTGGTGTGGCCTTTAAAAAACACAGATTATTTAATTAAGAGTCAAAATAATAAGATATGTATAACACATAATTAATAATGTAATTTTAGTGACAGCGCTACAGCCCATTAGCACCTTGTACGTTAGCTTACATTAATAAGTATTCAAACTGTGTAAATTAACTGATATCTATATAGTTTATTTCTGCAAATACAATTATTAGCAACAACAGCAATTTATCCCGCTTAGGTTTATTCCTAAGTATTCCATACTCCAGAGGTATGTTCCTCTGGAAAACAGTCTAATTACAGTTAAACAACCTCTCAGTTTCTTACATATACAAACACAAAGACAGTCAGACAGAGAGAAAAAGATACTTCAGAAATAAAATAACTCAGTTGATAAATATTACTGTAAGACAGTATCTGGTTTGTTATGACATTCATAAAACTGTTTAATCACAAAACCCCTCTCATTCTTCATTTCTGGAGCTCTTCTCTTCTCTGTGAGGATGAACAACCTGAAAAAATCACATCACAGAAGCTATTATATATTCCAACTAGTAAATAAACAAACAAGTCAACTAAGGTTGAGCATGTTTCACTGGGAGAGTCTGTAAGATGCTAAACACAAAAATGAAAACTAACACAACTAAACACACTCTGCAGGGCAACACACACGCACACGCACACACACACACACACGCACACACAGAGGCTTAAAGACTGCAGTCTTACTTGTAGAGTGTTATGATCTGAGGTCAAGGTGGTGGGATTCAGAGCTGTGTCTTTTAGAGAGATGAGGAGAACAACTTCAGTCTTTATTCAGTAGCAGCTTTATAGGAGTATGTAGAGAAAGAGTGAAATCCTCTCTCAGTACCTGAATATCTGAGTCTCTCTCTGCTCCTCTCTTCCTCCTGATCACACAAATGACATTTAAAACATGGCTGTTAATCCTTATTTTGATTTATACAAAACAAAGACATCCAGTGTAGGCCTGGGCGACAGCGCAATGTAATCAGATACTGTCGATGATGGACAATGAACCTGATGGCAAAAGAACTGAGAGAGGGAAAAGAACTGAGAGAGGATTAATTTGTAATTAAACAGATTATAAATATGTTGGGAAATTGGGGTTCACTTTTAAGACATGTGTGGAGAGAGAGAGAGAGAGAGAGAGAGAGTGAGAGAGAGAGAGAGAGAGAGAGAGAGAGAGAGAGAACTTTGTTAAGAAGCTCCCTGTTAATTCTCTGCTGTGCGTTAATGCTAGCTTTACTACACAGCTCTCCCCTTATACTTGCTTTAGAACTTGGACTCGCTGCAGTTCAAAAAATCCAAAAAAAACCTAAAGAAACCATTGAAAAATAATCAATAAAACACAAAAGTATTGTGCACCTTTGAAGTATTTTTAAATATTATTATTTTTAGATATCGCCCAGGCCTAATCCAGTGTAAGAACTTAATTTGAGTGTAAAGTTGAGGTTCTGCTTAATATAATATTTAAAGAAAGGTTCAGATATTCAGAGTAAAATCTACAGAATACAGTCACTCACTTAATGCACAGAACGGCAGTAAGAAGAGAGAGAGCCAGAACAGGAACGACTCCAACAGCTCCCCAAACAGCATTCAGCTTCCACAACTCAGCTGAGTCTTTAAAAACACCACACGCACACACACACACACACACACACACACACAATGCAGCACTGAACAAATGACTCAAATGTTGAACATTCATTACGGTCTGCTGTGAGGAATATGTGTGTCCAGCTATTTAATACAAATAATTTATTCTGATTAGAGAAAAACTGACCAACACAAATAATTAAACATCCTAATGATAGTTACTTTAAAGTACTTACGTAACACATCCAGACGGGTGGGTGTTGAGCTGTGCAGTCCTAGCTGGTTGTGAGCAGTGCAGTAGTAGAGTCCACTGTGCTGGGAGCTGATGTTGGTGATGGTGTAATTCTGGCCTGTTGTCAGTGGTGCGTCTGCAGCTGCTCTCTGCTTAAACCAGGAGTAGATGAGAACAGGAGGGTCTGCATCACTGCTGCAGCTCAGAGTCACTGATTCTCCCTCCACTCTCTCTCCAGAGGAAACTACCACTGCTCTGGTGTTTCTAGGAGAGTCTGAATGGAAATGTGATAAAGATACAAACATTTGAGAGTTGGTTACTAATGCCCAGCAAATTTATTCTGTAATTTGAAACTGCCCTTTATGACAATGTACTGTAGATATCTGTGTACATTAGTGCATGTAAAACTGCCCACTCACACACTGGAGGAGAGACGAGGCTCTCATGACCTTCAACAGCACAGCTGTAGCTGATCGCACCACTGACCACAGCTACAGAGCAGGAAGCAGATTTGCAGTGAATCACAAGTTGTCCGTTCTTGTACCAGATGTAAGTGAGGTTGTCTGGCAGAGTGCAGGTGCTGCTACACATCAGTTTCTTTCCTCCACTGTCTGTGTCTGACACTGTAACCTTCAGAACTAATTTTAAATATGTGCTGTTATTTTTTTTGCTGTTATTGTTAATTTCATCAATAGAATATTCTCACAGTTAACGAAACCTATTTTACTTTATGCAGCTCTACCTGTGACAAATAGAGTTACGCCAGGCTGTCCAGTGTATTCACCTCCATCAGTGTAGAATCTGAATATATATGTTTGAGCATCTCTCTTTCTCAGTTGATTGATTCTGATACTACAGTCATTCTGGGAGCTCTGTCTGTACTGCACTCGTCCCTGATACTCCTCATCCTCTCTCACATCCACAGGCTCAGTACCAGCCTGTTCTTTAATGAACCACACTGATTTAGTCACTGTTTGTCCTCCAGGGTAATAAGAGCAGGAGAGATCAACTGATGATCCTTTCAGAGCACACACACGTTCAGGAGTGTAAGTCACACCCCAACACTCTTTACCCAGAACACCTGCAACACACACACACACACACACACACACACACACACACACACACACACACACACACAGAGTCAGTAAGAATTAAAGGTAACGCGGATAAATGCAAGGCAAGCGTGGACTATTTTTCATCTCATCTTTTGCAGTTTTTTAAAGGAAACAATATTCAAAAATACAGTTTATTTTTTCTTTTTAGTTTGTTTTAGTTTGTTTTAGTTGTATTTAATAGGACCATCCTGCATGTTGTTATTAATGTCTGCAAGTATTGTAGTAACTCTTCTATTATTATTTGAACTCAAGTGCACCCACACTTGGTGCACACTTGGAACTCAAGATCAACCACAGAGCCACTAAGGTCATTTGGAAGCGACTTTATAATTAATATAATTAACCACTTATGTTGTGATGTCCAAAGGACGGGAGCAATTTAATGAGAAAAAACATCACTCTGGAACTAATTTTCCTTAAGCATTAGAACATGCAGCTACATCTGTAGCAGTTTTCAACTTTGTATTTGTTACATTAGTACCTGTAAAACAGCAAGAACTGATGGTGTGAGTGAACGTTTGCAGACACAGTAGCTAATGGCTCACCAGCATATGGAGCCTGAGTGATCTGAGGTTTAGTGAATGACACTTACACACTGAAGGAGAGTGGTGCCGTTTACCGCTGCTGTCTTCTACCTGACAGGAGTAGCTGCCCTCATCAGATGACCTGGTGGAGTCCAGCACAATAAAGGCATCATCTGTATAGGCCTTGTATACTTCATTTCTGTACCAGTCATAGTTAAGATTTGCATCAAGGCTGCAGGTGGAGCTACAGATCACTTTCACCTTTCTCTCTCCTGCAGTCTCACGATCCACCTTCACCTGCAACTCTACACACATCACATCATATACCAGAATTCTGCAAATCTCAGTTCTTGTTTATGTCTTATATATTTACATGTACAGAGACTCTATAAAAGTGTTGGTGTCTTTGTGTGTTTATTTACCTGTAACAGTCAGATTAACTCCAGATGAAGCTGATATCCAGTCACTGCTTGATGTTCTAAATCTGAAGTTATAAACTCCAGAGTCTCTCACTCTCACATCCCTCACTGTCAGATCACAGTCATTCCACCATGTACTTACAGAAACTCGTGCTGAGTATTGAGGATCTTTAGTCAAGACTCGTTCTTCTCTATCAGAGCTCTGGAGCTGATACCACTCTCTCTCTCTGACTCTGGAGGAATCAGCTGTTGTATATTTACAGGAGATTTTTACTGTAGATCCAGTAACAGCACAGAGACTCTGAGAGGAGAGAGTTACACTGTGCTGAGCCTGAACCCCTGAAACACACACACACACACACACACACACACACACACACACACACGCAAGGAGCATAAGTTAGACATGAGGAGGAAACTCGTGGTGTGACCACAGTGTGAACTCCTGCTGCTGTTGCTATGAGCAACACACGGATGTTTGAAGTTAGCTGGAGGTGTTAAAAACAGAGGAAGTGACCTCAGTTTAAAAGTTGTTTAACGGGTTTATATGAAGCTTTGCACAGTTTAGACACTGATAACATGTCAACTTTAAATACACAAAGCTTTAAATAAACGAGGTTTAGAGTAGATCAGATTTGTACAGTTTAGTATGAACACTGATACAGAAAATCTCTAATTCAAATATAAAAAAGCTTTAACAGGTGATAAAAGTGTGCAGTTATTAATCACTTGTTACTGTTGCTGTTAAATGTTTTTTTTCTTCTGAAGCTTGTTTACACATAGTGTAGTCCAGATGTGTTCAGTTCTAGTCCTGAAGCATCAGTGTCCAGCTCAAACTCACCTAATAAACCTGGCAAATATAATCTAAACATAAAATATGTAAAAATGTACCTGTCAGTAATATGAGGATCACTGCTGCTGTGATATTTCCTGATGTTCTGGAAATCATGACGCCTTCACCCTTCAAACACTGCTGATTCTTAAATATCTAGCAAATAAAATCAAAATTTGACTGATGAAGTAACAAGGAATGAATTCTGACTAAAATAAATGACCAATCAGAGCCTCTTTCATCTTAAAGAAGTTGATCACTACTCTGCTCACTCTTTCTCGCTCTACACTTGTAAATTATGATCGAACAAAGAACTGGAAGGCACGTTTGTGCATTCTGCACTCAGTCGTCACAACCCCACCCTTTTAGCTCTTCCTTTTGTCTCTTTATTCAAGACCACAAGAAGGAGATCTGTCTTGCCCATCCAGAGAGAGCAAGACTAAATACGCTGTCTTGCCACAGACGGCTGTCGCATCACTGTTATTTGTTTTATCGTCTCTGTAACATCTTTAGTTTAAAAGAAGAGTTAAAGATGCTCTGGGTCAGGCTTGGCCTCTCCTCTGTCCTGCATCATGTGTTCTTGTTTCTGTACTTCCTGTTAAATGCCTTGAGCTCTGGTCAGTCAGGTATGAGTTTGCTCAAACTGACTGGTAATGGACTTCTAGGGTTTTATTTACACCTTTATTTTATCTAAACTAATGTTTTTTGGCAACTGTTTTCCCACCAACAGATGCTATAATAATGAGACTGAATGAAATATGTGTTAAATCCATATGGGGAAATAAGAGGGAAGAGACAAAGAGAGAGGTTTTGCATAGAAATAAGCAAAATGGACGTCTAGGAGCTGTTAAAATTAGGACTAAATTGAAAATACGTTTGGCAGATATGTGAGCGCTTGTGCAGATAGAAAAGCAAGATGGATTGGCAACATTAAATAATTACAGAAGCTAAAAGTTGAGAAAATAAAATATGTTACTCATTCTAAGATTTTATTTGCAGATTTTTTTAGAAAGATATAAGGTTTAAAATATTAATTGGACAACACAGTCAAATAAGTTAATTTATAATTTGATCATACTTAATGAAGTTATACAATTTGGAGATTGTAGTATTTGTTAAACTGGCAGGAATGTAATTTAATCTCAGGGAAACAGAAGGACTTAATGTGTTTAGCTGCTTTAGGTGAACTTCCAGTACGAGATGTAGTGAAATGGAGCTGTTCAGTTAAAACCACCATGTGTCCAATGCCAGAGTGTTCAAAAGAAGAAACTATTGGTCACTTGACTGTTGACTGTTATAGGACAAAGGAAATCTGGGAACAGTTTTCGAAATATGGATAAAACATAGACTGTACTAAGAGAAATATAACATAGATAGAAGGCTATCAGTATTTTAGGGAATTTACTACCATTCCGACTCCTCTCCCACTCGCTGCTGTTCAGGGGCTTGAACCAATGCTCAAATTGGTAAGGCTCAAGACTCCCTGCCCCACTGAAGATGGGGGTGGTGGTGGAGAACAATGTTCGATCTCTCAGTTGCAGAAGTGCTGTTAGACTCTGTGTTACTATTTTTTCTATATTTTCTAGTAGCTAACGTTAGCTATAAAAACACAGCAGCCCACCCCACCCAGCTTCTCTCCCAGCCCCACCTCCAAACCCAATCACTGCAGTGCCCCTCCCAAAGTGCCCCTGCCATTTTTGAGCATTTTTCAAAGCTGAACTGGGGTGGAGTTTGCTGAAGTAAGGGGGTGTAGTTACACATCTGATATTGCGATGTTACAACATACTTGTACGATGTGACGAATTTTGTAAAAACTGTGGAACGTTTATATCATGTGATATGATGACCTTTGTTGATACAGAAGTGATGGTTTTGATGCATTTTATTGTATATGATTGTATGTATGTTAAAAAGTTCTTTAAAAACTCTTAAGAATCTGATCTGGAAACTGAAGATAATCTTTACTCATCATGGTTTCACAGAGCCTTTAGTCATGAACATCATCCTACAGTTTTCTCCCTCAGAGTGTGAAGCTGAGTCAGGGTAGAGTCTCTGTATGATATCAGTGCTTTTGGATTCTTCTTCAGCAGGATCTTCACTGTTCTCACTGCAGACACACTGTAGCTGTTCCAGTGTTTCTGTGGGATTAAAAATGAATAATATCTTGATCACAAGTCGTGTCTTTAGCAAATACTTCATATTCCACTGTGGGAAAATATGGGTCACTGTCTGCTGTCTGTCAGTAGCTACGTGCTGCAATGCTAGTAAAATTAGAGCTGTTGTTAAGACTATAGCAGTCTTCACCACAACTCACTCCTTCCATCTGTTTGTATAACCTGGACAACTTAAAATATGCATGAGTTATACACTCTATACACCATAGGTCTCGAATTCAAGTTACCTGGGGGCAACTGGTGGGGTGGTCTTCTCAAAGGGGGGTCAACTGAAAATAATTTAGGGAAAAAAGTGCTGCATATTTTTTTCAAGCGTGAATTTTAACATCGAAAACTAAAATATGAGGATTTTTTTTTCCTACTATGAATTTGAACTACACTAGCAAGTTATCAGCAATTCTTCTGACATATTCTTCTTCTTATTATACTATAACTACACAGTGTTTCAATTAACTTCCATGTAAGAGTAGAATTATATGGGACTCTTATTTCGATAGCATTATCGTTCGTGCTGAACACAAGTGAAGTTTTTGAGAGGTCAAATCTGTTCTCAGCGTGTTTTATAATTTCGTTCATTTCTTAATTCTTGAGCATCAAGTTAGCAATGTTGGTTTTTAAATCAGTTATATAGAATTCCAAGCACCACAGAAGAGCTCGTCCTCACAGTCATGTGTGAAGGCTGAGGCCATATTTTGAAGAAAAAAAAACATGTTTTTCTGCAATTTTAACTACAATAATCTATACATGACTATGGAATATATAAATTAAACAGCATAAAGAAAACAAATGCCAAATAAATATTCTAAAATATATAATGAAAGTTGTGGTCCCCAGGAGTCGTGTCACTGGTGTTACTACAAAAATCTCTTATTTTGAAATAAAAATCACACTGATGACATCAATTGGCTTTCTGTTTCCTGAGTATCTATTAAGAAAAGCACATGGTGAGTCCACGGTGTCTTTTCAGTTATCAGAAATTTTCTCATTTAGCTCATGATTTCGTATGAAGCTTTTAGTTTAAGTCACTGGTGTGACCTACTTTATTCTTAGGTAGTTGTGGAAAAATAGAATACAAATGGATTAAATTGCATATTTTAGTGGATATTCCATGATTGACAACATGTGGTTTGATGTTCTGTAGCAGACATTTCGAAAAATGTATTTTTCATTAAAAATGTCTCTGGTGTTACCTTTCTTATGTGTAACACCAGTGAGGATTAGTGACACCAGTAACACCTACAGAGAGATAGAAAAGTGGACATTTCTGTAGAATGACCCAAACATTCTAACAATCACGCTTTGGAAGTAGCTAAAAAGTAGTGCACTACTTTTTCTGGAAAAGTAGCTGAATTGTAGCTGCTACAAATTTTGGGAAAGTAGCCAATTACTAATCACTACTAAAAAATCACTACTAATTTTTCAGTAGCTATTCCAACCCTGATCTGGGGTCACAGGTCGCAGGAGGAAGAAGGTCAAGCTTCAGCGTGTGGCTACAGATTCCAGAGGTGGGTAGAGGAGCCCAACAGTCCCAACAAGTAACTGTTTTATATTGTGTCATTCATGTGGAGCTCCACTCTTCCACAGCAGCCCTGGAGCTTTTTAGACTCTCATCTCCCCAACATAGCCCAGTCTATACTAACATACAGCATAAATACTCCACTGAGATCAGGAGCTTTTCAGTTTTTATCATATTTTCATAAACATTTCATTAATCAGAAGCATTTAATACAGAAATATTCACTTTGTAGCATTTATTGTTTGCTAGCAAGATGCTAATTTCTATTAGCATGCTTATGGGATTTTTTATAGGATGTTAGCGCCAAGCTAATGATGATGTACCTTCATTTTCCACACTGGACTTAATATTACTTATGGTAGTGTTGACATTTAAAGCTGGTAAGTCATAGATTTAAAATACTCTTTACTTTGTATGTTGCAGTTTTACAGTAAAATCTCTTAAATATTTAAACTTAGAGTCTAATTCTGAAAGTTACTGGATTAGCCTGTTAGCCTGTTAGCTATCTGTCGATCTGGTTGTTAAACAAGATCACATTCTTTTGTAGCATGAATATAGAATGATTTTAGACTGTCTGATTCATATACACACAATTTAATACTGCAAACATGCATTAATTCATTCTCTAATGTTCTACAGTAAAAACTGATTCCTACTAGAAATGACTCATCTGGTATTTGCTTATAGGCTGTAAGAACCATGTTAGTAGAGATGCTGTCTGTGAAAATGTAACTCCTCTGAACGCTTCGTCTGAAGTGCACATCAGTACATCTGTTAGGACTGTGTTTTATATCAGTGAGTTTATTTAGTGTCGGGAAAAAAACAAACATTGTTATTGTCTTTGTTGCCTGCTGCTTAAAAAAATGACTAAAATATGTCCAAAATATAGAAAACTTGTCTGTAAAGAAATCAGAGATTCAGCATCTATCAGCACTGAAGTCTGTTTGGTGCTGTTCTTCTGTTTTTAGACCCTTTTGGCCTAAAATTACATGCTAAATCTAGAAAGTAAGTTTTAAGCAACAGCAAAGCAGAACAGATGCTGAACCAGTAGAACAGAATGAGACACAAAAAGAGAATTAGTAACTTAATATGAATGTCTAAAGTAGAACTGAGTAAAAAGTCGATCAGTTTCCTCACAAATAGACTTGAGTAGAAGTAAAACTGTGACTCACTGAGGTACAAATCAATCAAAAGTTTACAGAGGTACAAGTAACTGAGTAAATATAACTAGTTATCTTTACTCAGTTACTTATTTTATTTAAATACTCCACTGTAGATGCTTTGTAGATGGATTCAACTAAATAGTCTTTTAAATTCATATTACAAACTCTAACTCACTAACTCAACCTGGTCTTAATCCTCACTCTGACTTTAGGATTAACTCAAAGTCTTAATCTTAATCTTGGTCCTAAAGCTGACCCTGGTCCAAAAACCCTCCAATGTTGAGAATCTACTGAGTTTCAGGTAGTTTGTTAACAGTTTGAACATTTGTAGATAATCTATTGTGGGCTGTTCAGATAAAGTGGAACAGGTTTAGTGCATTTGTGCATGTTTGTGGAATGAGATGAGAAAGTTAAGGTTAATTGTTTCTAGGTTTTATTTGTTGTAACAGGAGATCTGGATGTTTGTAAGATGTATTTTGAAGATATTTCCATTTGCAGTGTCTCATCACACTTTCTGTGTTTTTGCAGGTCTCACACTGGATCTGTCGTCTCCTACATTCGTTGCAGATAAATATAAAAATGCTTAAACTGCTATGCAGCTTTATATTACTTGTAGCTGTAAAAATAGATTCTAGAGTCTAAAATCAGGAGAAAGCTGTAGACGCCCCCAAATTATTTTAAACATTAGTTCTTAAAATCTGTGACACAGTAATCAAATCCTGAGATCCGGTGTTGACCAGAGGAGGATGGGTTCCCCTTTTGAGTCTTGGTTCCTCTCAAGGTTTCTTCCTCTTGTTCTGAGGGAGTTTTTTCTTGCTCATCTGGGGCTTGGACCCGGATTTTCTGTAAAGCTGCTTTGTAACAGAGCCTGTTATAAAAAGCAATAAATAAATATGTCTTGAATTAAACTGAAATGAAGAGAGAACAATGATTACATTTACAGACTCACTAGATACATGATCCACAGTTCCATTTACAGAAATTTCTAAAAATAATACTAGAACATTTACTTCTTAAGAGTGTTTCTGTTGTTCATAAGTTTATTAACTATTAAAATTAAACTTTTTTTTTTACCAAAAGTCATTTTCATGCAGAGAACTATTTATAATTTTTACACAACAAATTATTGTCTTATACAGTTTGTTTACTTGTGTTTTTTCAGTGTTGTTCTTCACAGTGTGGACTAAAGAGTAAAGAGGGAGATAAACAACTGAACAGCTAATGTAGTTTATCTGTATAGAAATGAAACAGAACATGAGCTATTTAATACAAATAATTTATTATGATTAGAGAAAAACTAACCAACACAAATAATTAAACATCCTAATGATAGTTACTTTAAAGTACTTACGTAACACATCCAGACGGGTGGGTGTTGAGCTGTGCAGTCCTAGCTGGTTGTTAGCAGTGCAGTAGTAGAGTCCACTGTGCTGGGAGCTGATGTTGGTGATGGTGTAATTCTGGCCTGTTGTCAGTGGTGCGTCTGCAGCTGCTCTCTGCTTAAACCAGGAGTAGATGAGAACAGGAGGGTTTGCATCACTGCTGCAGCTCAGAGTCACTGATTCTCCCTCCACTCTCTCTCCAGAGGAAACTACCACTGCTCTGGTGTTTCTAGGAGAGTCTGAATGGAAATGTGATAAAGATACAAACATTTGAGAGTTGGTTACTAATGCCCAGCAAATTTATTCTGTAATTTGAAACTGCCCTTTATGACAATGTACTGTAGATATCTGTGTACATTAGTGCATGTAAAACTGCCCACTCACACACTGGAGGAGAGACGAGGCTCTCATGACCTTCAACAGCACAGCTGTAGCTGACCGCACCACTGACCACAGCCACAGAACAGGAAGCAGATTTGCAGTGAATCACAAGTTGTCCGTTCTTGTACCAGATGTAAGTGAGGTTGTCTGGCAGAGTGCAGGTGCTGCTACACATCAGTTTCTTTCTTCCACTGTCTGTGTCTGACACTGTAACCTTCAGAACTAATTTGAAACATTTGCTGTTATTTTTTTTTTGCTGTTATTGTTAATTTCATCAATAGAATATTCTCACAGTTAACGAAACCTATTTTACTTTATGCAGCTCTACCTGTGACAAATAGAGTTACGCCAGGCTGTCCAGTGTATTCACCTCCATCAGTGTAGAATCTGAATATATATGTTTGAGCATCTCTCTTTCTCAGTTGATTGATTCTGATACAACAGTCATTCTGGGAGCTCTGTCTGTACTGCACTCATCCCTGATACTCCTCATCCTCTCTCACATCCACAGGCTCAGCACCAGCCTGCTCTTTAATGAACCACACTGATTTAGTCACTGTTTGTCCTCCAGGGTAATAAGAGCAGGAGAGATCAACTGATGACCCTTTCAGAGCACAGACACGTTCAGGAGTGTAAGTCACACCTGAACACTCTTTACCCAGAACACCTGCAACACACACACACACACACACACACACACACACACACACACACACACACACACAAACAGAGTCAGTAAGAATTAAAGGTAACGCGGATAAATGCAAGGCAAGCGTGGACTATTTTTCATCTCATCTTTTGCAGTTTTTAAAAGGAAACAATATTCAAAAATACAGTTTATTTTTTCTTTTTAGTTTGTTTTAGTTTGTTTTAGTTGTATTTAATAGGACCATCCTGCATGCTGTTATTAATGTCTGCAAGTATTGTAGTAACTCTTCTATTATTATTTGAACTCAAGTGCACCCACACTTGGTGCACACTTGGAACTCAAGATCAACCACAGAGCCACTAAGGTCATTTGGAAGCGACTTTATAATTAATATAATTAACCACTTATGTTGTGATTTCCAAAGGACGGGAGCAATTTAATGAGAAAAAACATCACTCTGGAACTAATTTTCCTTAAGCATTAGAACATGCAGCTACATCTGTAGCAGTTTTCAACTTTGTATTTGTTACATTAGTACCTGTAAAACAGCAAGAACTGATGGTGTGAGTAAACGTTTGCAGACACAGTAGCTAATGGCTCACCAGCATATGGAGCCTGAGTGATCTGAGGTTTAGTGAATGACACTTACACACTGAAGGAGAGCGGTGCCGTTTACCACTGCTGTCTTCTACCTGACAGGAGTAGCTGCCCTCATCAGATGACCTGGTGGAGTCCAGCACAATAAAGGCATCATCTGTATAGGCCTTGTATACTTCATTTCTGTACCAGTCATAGTTAAGATTTGCATCAAGGCTGCAGGTGGAGCTACAGATCACTTTCACCTTTCTCTCTCCTGCAGTCTCACGATCCACCTTCACCTGCAACTCTACACACATCACATCATATAGCAGAATTCTGCAAATCTCAGTTCTTGTTTATGTCTTATATATTTACATGTACAGAGACTGTATATAAGTGTTGGTGTCTTTGTGTGTTTATTTACCTGTAACAGTCAGATTAACTCCAGATGAAGCTGATATCCAGTCACTGCTTGATGTTCTGAATCTGAAGTTATAAACTCCAGAGTCTCTCACTCTCACATCCCTCACTGTCAGATCACAGTCATTCTGCTCTGTTCTTACAGAAACTCGTGCTGAGTATTCAGGATCTTTACTCAGGACTCGTTCTTCTCCATCAGAGTTCTGGAACTGATACCACTCTCTCTTTCTGACTCTGGAGGAATCAGCTGTTGTATATTTACAGGAGATTTTTACTGTAGATCCAGTAACAGAACAGAGACTCTGAGAGGAGAGAGTTACACTGTAATGAGCCTGAACTCCTGAAACAAACACACACACACACACACACACACACACACACGCACAAGGAGCATAAGTTAGACATGAGGAGGAAACTCGTGGTGTGACCACAGTGTGAACTCCTGCTGCTGTTGCTATGAGCAACACACGGATGTTTGAAGTTAGCCGGAGGTGTTAAAAACAGAGGAAGTGACCTCAGTTTAAAAGTTGTTTAACGAGTTTATATGAAGCTTTGCACAGTTTAGACACTGATAACAACTTAACCTTAAATACACAAAGCTTTAAATAAACGAGGTTTAGAGTAGATCAGATTTGTACAGTTTAGTATGAACACTGATACAGAAAATCTCTAATTCAAATATAAAAAAGCTTTAACAGGTGATAAAAGTGTGCAGTTATTAATCACTTGTTACTGTTACTGTTAAATGTTTTTTTTCTTCTGAAGCTTGTTTACACATAGTGTAGTCCAGATGTGTTCAGTTCTAGTCCTGAAGCATCAGTGTCCAGCTCAAACGCACCTAAAATGAAATAAATCATTTTGAAATCAGATTAATCTTTTTGAATCACCCTGTATATACATATATATATATATATATATATATATATATATATATATATATATATATATATATATATATATATATATACACACACACACACACATATATATATATATATATATATATATATATATCCAAAACCATAAACCCCCAGCATAAACAACACAACACTCACCATGAGCTCAGTGGACTGGACTTTCAGAGCTGAAGATGCAGGAGCTCTGGATCCTGGAGAAAAGCTGAGAGAGATGGACATTCTGTTCTACGTCTGTGGAGCAGCAGTCAACAGACACTTTGATACAGCATGTTATTTCCGTCCTGATAGAAAGCTGTTTTTCACTTAGGTGATTAGAGATAACATTAAAAAACACTCTATAAGCTTATTTAAACCTGCATGTAGAAAAAGCGACATGCTTTTTATTTTCCACAGAACCAATTGTTTATCTGTTTAAATGTGCATCATGTACATAATAAAACGCTTTACTAACTGAACAAAGAGTTTATTAGAAATAAAATGGTCTGACGAAGTCAGGCAGCGTAGCTAAGTATCAAAAGGAGCCACTTAGTAAAAACTAGAGAACTTCCACTGAGGTTCTGTTAGAACGGTTTTACTGCAGAACAAGACATGAACTTCACTTCAGAACTGAGAAACTAAAAAGCTGTTAAATCTGTGAAATGATCGAGAAGCTCACTGTGCTGTTGTTGTTAAATGTTAGATGCTGAGGAGAACTCGCCGTCTCTCACACGAGCTCTTTTAGCACGTTTTAAAGAAACAGTACAAAGAATGGTTTGTATTATTAATGTGCATTAATATTTATCTTTATACAGAATGTTTTAATCACAAATGTGAGGCTGTACAGTCCTGTTTAATCTGACTGACCTAACTGTCAGCAGCTAAATTAAGAAAAGCTAACTAGCTTAGCTAACTTATCTAGACATTTTTCTGTAATGTTTTTATTGTTAGACATTATATTAAATGATTTTTTATCAAGTACAGTAACCCAGATAAAGCTGATCTTACCTTAGAGCCAGTGTGAGTCTGTCTGTTACTAGTTCTGACACTGAGCTGTGAGTTTGCTCTTCCACAGAGTTTAATCCAGAACTTTTTCAGTTTTAGGAATGGAATAAAACAGCAGCAGCTCCAGATGATCAGGACAGCGTGTGTCAGACATTATAGGTGTCGTGTACTAAGAACAGAACTAATAAAAGAAAAAGGGGTTTGTTGTGAAGAAAATATAACCAGTAGACTCTGTAAAAGCTCTTAACCTTTATTTCCAGATCAGAACTCTGATTTGTTCAGCACTCTCATTCTCTTTCTCAGCCTCTTTATCTTTTTACCACCAGAAAGAACAAATAGACCCTCCTTTACCGACACAATAGCGCCCCCTTCTGATTTTTCTCAAAACAACTCCTTCAGGACAAACTCACGTCTTCTTAATATTTTAACTATAATACACTACTGAACGATTCTCAGTCACTCATTTACACCATTTCTTAGTTCTTACAATTCTGACTGTTTTTCCTGTGGAGTTCTTCCTTCACCTGATGGAGGAAGGAATGTTTAGAGATGACTGTGATTGGCTGAGAGGCATCAATCATGATTTTGTAAACAGTCAACTGGAGAAAGACGCTGCACTGTGTATGTAGCTCACATTTCACTGACATTGCAGATCAAATATTTCATTTTTGTTTAAATACTTTCACAAATGTTTTTCTTTTAATAAAATTCTCAGTTCTTTGCATCCATGTACGACATCATCATGGTCCTTTTCATAGTATTATGATGACGCTATGCAGTTGTGCTGCCACCATTTTGTAAGAGCATGTGTTCTGTCCCCTGGATCCTTTTTTTCTTTTTTTTTTTAAACTGTTAACTGTTTGTGCAGTTTGTATACTGACATTACTATAACTGTACTATTTAAACTCCTATAATAATAATAATAATAATAATAATAATAATAATAATGAAAGGTAACTCCAAGTTCATTCAGCAGTGCAGTGGCAGTTTTTTATGAGATTATAAAGCCATAATTGATCCAGCAAAGGCAGAAAAACACCTTTTTTGGGAATACTCACTCATTCTTAAAGCTGGGTCCCAAACTGTATGCAAACTCACTAAATAGTGTGTAAAAACAGTGCAGTGCCTTTAAAAGTGCACTCATTAGTGTAGTAGGTGAAGTTCAGCAGTGTGTTTGAGATGCAGTGTTAGATCAGACAGTGAGAGATTCAACAGTCCAGCAGCTCCAGTGTCTGATTATATCTTTGCTGTGCTGCTCATTAAACATTTCCAAGCGAAAGTTTCAAGGTATTTCCTGATTAAGGCTACATTTATTGAGGTAAACTGGATTTCTAAATTTTGTCTGTGAGTTGTTCACGGAGCATGTCCTCATTTTTTTTTGACAAGAATGAAATCCGATTAAACCGACAGTCTGTAATAATGTGGTTGTTTTTAGAGCAGCGCTGGAGCTTTAATTCCCAATTTGATGATTCAGTTCAGTTTAATAGGTTATGTAGTGTAACAGTCCTGTAGTAATGAGAGTGTGATAGTTATTCATGGGAGTTAAGTTACTTTGTAGGTTTGTCTGAAACCAAAATCGTTAGTAGCCCAAAATGCACCACTGTACACAGTATTTTAGAGTAAAAATAATATTTGTTTTATAAATGGTGGGAAGCAAGTGGCTAACTGTTGAATTACGACTGGGGGAGTCCAAACGGTGGTCGACATTAACGCTAGCTAACTTGGAATCAGCCACGCTAGCGAGATAATCAGTTGCCCCGTCCCAAAACGCATAACGTTACTAGCGCACTAAACAGTGTGCAAAATTAGCACATATACCATTAGAAGTGCACTCATTAGTGTAGTAGGTGAGTGCAGAAGTGTGTGGTTTGGGACGTGGTAACTGTCTTAAACATAAATCTGTCTACTGAAGTTTTAGCTTAGCGAGATTAGCTTGACTAATCAATTAACCAATGAACTGAAATAGTGAGATACGAATGAACTAAAAATATATCAAATCACGAAATTATCCACCAAAATTGGCAAATTATTACAGCTAAACTCCGTGTTCATCTAAAAGTGTCTAACGTTATCTTACCGGGGGAACAGAGCGGCATCGAGACCGTTGATAACGTTAGTAGACTAAACTGGACCCAGTCTCCCCCAGAGACCCCTTACTGCCTTTAACGAAGAGATTCTACTGTTACAAAAATATATCGTGCGCAAAGTATAAACAAAAGCGGTACAATTAGCTAAAATACTTCTAAAATGTGTACTGGCTCTGTAAGTTCATGCCTGAGCCAAACACGGTGCACTGTGGACTTTGTAGTCCTTAACCAACCAGTGTAGTCCTACTAAGGCGTTCACGTATACAGCCTTACATTGACTTCTTTTACGTTTTCCTTACATTTTAAAATGTGTACGGTTTCACATTTATCTCACGCCGTCACATCTGATATTGATAGAAGTGGAAACAGAAGCAAACAGATCAATTTTGAAGTCTCTGGAGACATTGGGAGCGCATTAATTGGCACGTGACCTGCACGCAGTGCGTTCAAGTAATTTCCCAGATAGCAGACAGTTCTGGGCCGATTCTGGCTCACATCCGCGAGTGTTGGTTGACTTCCAGATAGATATTAGGCATGTAGGCCACAACTGGGCCAGATGCTGGACAGTTGTGTAAGGTTTTGACTCATATTTACATTTAAGGGCAAATTCTGGTATGTGTGTTGTGGCCCAACAATGTGGTTGATGGAAAAGGGCCACAGCACAATTAAGTTGCGGGAGATTCTTGCTCGGTTGATTTACACCTCAGTACTTTTGGCCCAAGTCTGGCATGTCATAAGTGGCCCACTGCAATAGCAGACAGTTCTGGGCCGATTCTGGCTTATATATGCGAGTGTTGGTTGACTTCAGGATGGATATTAGGGATTTGGGCCAGATGCTGGACAGCTGTGTATGGTTTTAAGTCATATCTACTTTTAAGAGCCGTTTCTGGCATAAATGTTGTGGCCCAACAGTGTGAATAAAGGAAGAGGGCCGCACTTTAATGCTGTGGCAGACCAATGCTCGTTGATTTGTGTCTCAGTACTTTTGTCCCAAGTCTGGCATATCGCAAGTGGCCCATTACTGAAGTTACAGAAAACAGCCGACACTCGCTGTAAGGGTTAAAATCCTCATTTAACTATTTTTTCCGCCCAAGTTTATCATTTTCAAATGGACACGCCAGGAGGCAGGTTTGAAGAGAAGACAAATTCTCTTCAAGAAGACAAAGAACAAGAGGGTAAGTAATATACTTTAAAATCATATGTACATACTAACATGATTTGTGATGTGTAAGTTTAGTTCAGTGAGATTAACTATGTCTAATTATTGTTCCAGTATGGAAAATCAAAAGTTATAACTATAGCTAATTATGCTGTTTTGACATAACACTGGAAAAGCACAGGCTAACTAGATTAATGAAATCAGTTTAAGGTTTAGTCACGTTATCCTTTGTTGCTAATTCGTCGTGAATAATGTTAACTAACATTCCTTTTAGCTAAATTTTCAGAGTAGTTAAATAGCTTGCGGTTAGTGGGTTAGCTTGGAGCTAACGCGTTAACCCAAGCTAACGCGCTAGCTCCGAGCTAAAGTGCTAACCGCGAACTAACGTTAGCGAACGACCCTGAGCATTCAAAGGAATAGCCAGAGCCGGTTTATGAACTCTACAAGTTCTCTGGAATAGCCAGTGCTTTTCAAGTGTTATGTTATAATGGTGTAGCATGTTAATTCGCGGTTAGCACGTTAGCTCGGAGCTAGCGCGTTGTCTTGACAGCAGTGTTAAGTCCTCTCATCTGCACACATCACCCTTCTGTGTAAGTCAGTAAAACCAGAAGAAAACAGGAAAAACCTGAGGGGATATTTCCTGGCTGAGTGTTCATTGTCAGGAGTGCTTTACATTAGTTCAACCTATAAGTAGCTTATTATTGATTATGGGTTTCTTAATGTTTGTTAGAACAAAACCTTTCTTGTTGATCACAGATCTTGCCGTTGTGGAGTTCTTGCCTCATTATTTAGTTTCTGAAGTAAAACCCTCTGCTCCAGACGAACTGTTATTCTGTGACTGCTTACAGTGACACAACTTCCAAAGTGACAGAGCTCATTATGTCTGCAGAGGGAATGCTGATTGTGGTGTTGCTCCAGATTGTCAGGTAAAGGGATTTGTTGTACAGTGTAACACAAAAACTGTGTTATCTGGAAGTCCATTAAAGAAGTAAATGATAGCTGAATGCTTTTCCTCTTTCCTCAGGCATCAGGAAGTGGACAGGGTTTGACCGATGTAGAATTTTAGGAATGTTTATAAATGGTAAGTTTTTACTTTAGAACAAGTATTCTGAAAACTTTTATTATTATTATTATATTATTTCTTTATTTATTTATTTTATTATTAAGGTCACTGAATAACTGTCATTATCTAGTATTTTAAATACATCTTTGAACAACAAAAACATACATTGCTTGTTTTATCTTGTGTATTCACTAGCCGTTGTATGAGGTTAATTTACAACAGACCAAAACACTTCCGTTTTGTGTGTTTGTTTTTGTGCATCAGTATTTTTTCTACTTTGAAAATGTTTCTAATTGTGATATACAATAAACAATCTGACTACATTCTAAATGTTTTTGCTTTTTGTTTTGTTTAAGGGATTCTGCACTGGTAAAAAAGAATGTATGCAAAACAAAGCAAAATGATCATAATATACCCACGTAAGCTCATGATGGAACCGCTTTCTAAGCCCACCTCTTACTGAACTGGGATCCAATGCAAATCCCAGAACGGGCCCATGTTTAACATAATATAAAATAAAATCATGCATTTAAAATCATTAGCGATACAGCAGATTATCCAGTTTTGTATTTGTATACTAAAAAAAAACCTCTAGTAATTATTGCATACGGAATCAGAAAAAGTAGCTGTCAGATTTAGCCTCTATTTCAGTGGCCTCTCCACTTGGCTGAAGAATTTTTCATCTGCCACTGTTTAGAATGAATGCAGAAATATTGTGAGAAATGTATTTATGAATGTGGAAAACATACGCTTTGATACAAGGCAGATGGTCTGCGGAACGACCAGCAGTATATGTCCTTGAAGATGTACACACAAAGACTGCAGATAATGACCTGTCATAAAGGTCAAGATTTCTGTTTTTATTTATTTAACCAAAATCAACATGGAGTTTTCATTCTGAAATGGCTTTTGTCGAAACCTATCCATTAGTAGAAATAACTAATAATATTTTGCATGTTCTGCAATAAATGAGTGTGGCATTCTGAGGCCCACTTCTGGGCCAGGGACGAAGGTGGGTAGTCAGCCATAACTGTGTGCCATATATGAGGCAGATCTGGCCCACACCTTTTAAATATGCTCACTTTACTGCGTGGGGGCCAGATCTGGTCCACAGCCGTTAAACTTACACACATTACAGTACATGGGCCAGAGCTGGGCCAGATCCCTAGGTTCTACTCACTTTATAGTATGTGGGCCAGATCTGGGCCACATCTGTTAGTTCTACTCACTTTACGGGATATGGGCCAGAGCTGGGCCACATCCATTAGTTGTACTAATTTTGCAGTGTGTGGGCCTCATCTGGGCTGCATCCATTAGTTCTTCTCGTTTTACAGTATATGGGCCAGATCTGGCCCAGGGACCCAGCCAGAATTGGGCCAGAACTCAACCAAGGATGTGGCCCACAAGTGGGCCAAATAAATTTTGCTAAATGCGGAGCGTAAAAGCCTCATCTGTAAAATAAAGCTTACACGCTTAAACTCGCGCTGTGAATCCGGAGAGACTGAAGTGTCGGAGCTGCAGCTCATCACAGTTCAGTTCTCTAAGTAAACTCCTGATTCCCAGAAAAAAACACGCAATTTACGCACGTAATCATAACAGAGCAGCAGGAGGAGGACGCAGCCTTCAGCTCCACTCAGTATCGCACCTCTCTGGATTCGGGTCTTCAGGACCTCCCAGACACAGAGAACAGTAGAGGTTCTAAATGAGCATCAGAACTTTCCAGAAAGAAAATGATCAAAGGAATAAAATCATTCCTGAAACATTCCTGATTAAAGGGCTTTAAAAACCAAACCTACTAAAGAAATAAAGCAGAAAGAGCTACAAAGACTAAAGGCACCAAAGTAGACTCTGAAAAGGAGGATCCGCCATAGAAGATCTTCCTTATAGAACTGATTTAGACAGGATGGAAAGCAGTTTAAGGTTCTCTCTCTGTGTGGAGGTTCTTTAGGTTTCTTCACACAGAAAAAAAAACATTCTCTAAACTGAAGGGTTCTTTAGGGAACCAAATGTGGTTCTTCAACGGAATCGCACAGAGAAGCTTTCTGACACCTTTATTTTACTTCAGGTAACAGAAAATAAATAGAAATAAAAATGATTATTCAGCTTGCAAGTTGTGTTTATGTGTAGTCAGAGGCCCTCCTCCAGAGGGAGACAATAATCATTGGTCTAAAAGGTGTAACAGTGTGCGACTCTGAGTGAGTCAATGAGATTAAACGGAGGAAATGCCTGAACAAACTGCCAATCATAACAGAGCAAATTGCCTGTTCTGTCGTTCATCATCATGTTATCTATCACATGTCCATTTTTTAAATGGTTTCATGAGAGGAGAATAGCAAGATGGAGTTGCGACAGTTAGGGTTCATTTACAGCACATCCGTATATAGTAGGAAAGGAGCAGACAGATTGGGGAAGGCCAAAATGGGTGGCGAGGTCAAAGCATGTTTCAGGGTCTTGAAGGCATCATCAGCAGCTGGAGACCATTCGAAGGGCACTCCTTTATGAGTGAGGCGATGCATCGGTTCAGCAATGTGAGAGAACTGCTTAATAAATCTCCTATAATAGGAGCAGAGCCCCAAAAAGGCTCTCACTTCTGTAGCTGAGCGAGGTACAGGCCATGAAGCAACCTTTTCAGTGTTAGAGGGGTCAGGCCGAACACCTCCACTAGAGACTTGATGGCCCAAGAATGGCTTTAATTTTAGGCCAGCAGACCGAAAACGTTGGAAAACCTCTTTCAAGTGCTGGAGATGTTGGCAAAAATCAGCACTATATACAATGATGTCATCAAGATAAACAAATATTCCAGTGGAGGCCACGGAGAACCAACTCCATCAAGCGCTGGAAGCTTGGGGGGGCATTTGAAATTCCCATAGGCATCATCTGGAAATGAAAGAGCCCAGTACCAGTTGAGAATGCTGTTTTGTCTTTGTCTCGAGGGTGAAGCAGGATCTGCCAATATCCAGCAGTGAGATCAATGGTGCTGAATATACAGGCACCAGCTAGCCTACCCAAAGTGTCATCCACATGAGGGAGTGGATGTGAGTCCTTAATTGTAACTGCATTAAGTCGGCGATAATCCACACAAAATCGGTGGGTGCCATCTTTTTTCCGGACCAGCACCACCGGAGCTGACCAAGGACTATGGGATTCTTCTATGATACCATGCTCCAAGAGCTTGTCTACTTCCTGCTGTAACAAGACCTGTGTGGCTGGAGATGTGCGTTACGGCCGCAACTTAATGGGTTTAGCATCACCTGTATCAATGGCATGATGGGTAAGATCAGTATGGCCATAGTCATAGGGGTGGGAGCTGAAAACATCAGCAAAATCTTTCAAAAGGTTCTCAAGTTGTGGTATTTCACTTGGCGTCAGACACGTATGAGATAGATCCACTGCTGGAGTGGGGCAATTGGAGGTGCTAGAGGTGGCAGCTACTGAGACCAAAGTGTATTCCTCTTGTGGGAAGGGAAAGCACCTGGCCTAATGGGCATCCACCTGCAAGGGAGACTGGTTCTGGGGAGGGGTTAACTACCCTAACTAGCCCTTGTCCATCATGAACTGTCGTGAGTGTCCTAGCAACAGCCAATGCAGAAGTTGAAGGGGGATGTGGTTCAACAATGCCTACGTAAGATTCAGCACATGCCACCTTGGTATTGCCACTGTTAATGGAGACAGCAATCACCATTTCAGACAGAGGGGGGACAGTAACAGGGGAGGCAGCAATAGCCGCACATTGTAATGGAACAAGGTGTTGTGGGGAGGAGAAATGTACAACAGTGTCATGTATCTGTAAATGTGCATGAGGTACCGACAGAGAGGCAATGTGTTGTGTAAGAAAGTCCCATCCTAAAATCACAGGGTGACTGGAGGTGCGCACAATGTGAAAAATATGGGATAAGGTAACATCACCAATATGCACAAGGGCCGTAATACATCCTATCATATCCAATAAATGTCCCGTCACTGAGGAAGCCAGGACAAAAGACTTACTGATGGGTTGAGAGGCCAGAGCAGGGATAGCTTTACAACACTCCTCAGCGATGAGGACTAGACCAGAACCAGTGTCTACCAGGGCATACTGTTCAGAGCCTGAGAGGGTAAGTCTTATGACAGGAGCAGGGAATGTGTCAACATTAGGGTCAACAGATTGAGAAGGGGCCGACTGGGCTGGCGAAGCTGACATGTGGCCCGCAATGCCAGCTTCTAGTAGTTTCCCTGACGCTGGGAGGAAGGGGCTACAGCATCATGTGGTGTGGAAAAATGGACATGGCCTGAAGGGGAATAGTGAGAAGGGCAAGGAGGCCGATCATGTGAGGTTGAGGGTGGGGAAGGGGACGAGGAGTATCTCGCTTGTGCATACCGTGGAGTAGGGGATGGGGACCGGGCACTACAGGGCTTAGAAGTATGGGCTGTGTGAGAGGGATGATGAACTGGGTGCGAGTGACGTTCCTGGGAAGGGGAACGAGCAGAGTACCTGTCATGGCGATGCCTGGGAGGAGAGAAGTCCTCCCAGTACCCTGAACGCTGGCGACACGTTTCATAAGGACAAGGAAGAGGGTGGCGTGGTCTTCGAAGTTGGGCAGAACTGATGTCAGTTCTGAAGGTGGGTAGTCAGCCATAACTGTGTGCCATATATGAGGCAGATCTGGACCACACCTTTTAAATATGCTCACTTTACTGTGTGTGGGCCAGATCTGAACCACAGCCGTTAAACTTACACACATTACAGTACATGGGCCAGAGCTGGGCCAGATCCCTAAGTTCTACTCACTTTACAGTATGTGGGCCAGAGCTGGGCCACATCCATTAGTTGTACTAATTTTATAGTGTGTGGGCCTCATCTGGGCCGCATCCATTAGTTCTTCTCGTTTTACAGTATATGGGCCAGATCTGGCCCGGGGACCCAGCCAGAATTGGGCCAGAACTCAACCAAGGATGTGGCCTACAAGTGGGCCAGATAAATTTTGCTAACTGGGTTGTTGCTGCAGATCGTGACTAAAAGATCAAAGTCTGATATGTTGACGTGCATCTTATTCCTATAACAGAACGTTGATCTGCAACGTGTATCAGGTGCTGCAGTTAAGATGTATATTAACCAATTTTCTGTTAAACTGGGCTGCTTTATGCTGAGCTGTGCTGCCCTCTTGTGGCTGTTCTGAGCTAAATGTCTGAGGTGGACAGTGCTGGTGTGGTCAGTTCTCCAGCTCTTCTGTACCGGATCAATCATGTTCTTTTGTCATTTTAATCACTAATTTAACCAGAATTTCCTTCATTACCTCAGAGCAGTTTTCAGTTCATTAGCAGTGCGCTATCGTTTCTGTGGACATATTTTAAACTCGAAGCTCAGGATACAGAAAATATGTCACTGAAAAAGTAACAACAAACACACATTTAAGAAATATCAGTTAAAGGTGTTCATCAAAGGTATTTACAGACAAAAGATGTAAAAAAAAATAAAGTTGGAAAAACTTCAGAATTAAAATAAATGCAAAAAATCATTAATAAATGCAATGAAAAGGAAGAAAAGTTCATATCTGGGATATAATTATTATAGTAGTAAAAAGTCTGGAGCTGCAGTTTTTACACTGTGTTTTGTGGGGGGAGAGAATCTGTGAAGAAGGAATCTGTCCTGAATAAACACTTTATTTTAAGCCAGTTTGGGTTCCTGTGGTTTTATTAAATAAACACTGTTTTACTGACCTTCATTTTGCAGACAGAACTGGACTAATCAGTCTTACCTGCTTCATTATCTCGCGTTCAGCCAATAAGGGATGACTTTGTAAATAGATCAGTATTTCATTGGTCGCTAGATGGCGCTGTCACTCTTTGGTATTTAATGCTGGTGGTAAAAAGAACCAAATGCTTTTCTGTGATTTAGAGTCTCAAACATGATCAGAAAAACGCCTGAACAAAGAAACTACAGCTCATTTCAGTAAAATAAACCCATCAATGTTTTCAGTCTGTTAACGCTGTTAGTTTAAATGTGTTGTATATGACAGGATGATCCCATACAAATAACTAGAACAACAATATTGATAGAAACGAAGGAATCAGATCAGATCTCACCCCATTCAACTTCACACAGCTTAAATAAAGAGCTCAGTGTAGATTTAGTATCTGATAAAGTCTGTTAAGCTCTGTTTACAACATCAACAAACGAAAAACGACAAATAGTGACTGAACCTGGTACCGTTAGCTGGCAGCTATAGCTAAGAATCAAAATAAGCCATTTACTGAAAAACTACAGAGAACTTCCACTGAGGGTCTGTTAGAACAGTTTTACTGCAGAACAAGACATGAACTTCACTTCAGACTGAGAAACTAAATCAACACTCAAAGTTATCAACACTGTCAAACTGTAAAAGCTGTTAATCTGAAGTGTCTGAGCTCTGAGTCAACCTCAAATCAAAACTGATGTTTTTACCTTGTTAGTTTGAGTCTCTGATCATATTAATGATGATTCATAATTAGAAACACACAGTTCTTATTTTCTGTCATCTTCCACCAAAATATAATAACTTGCCTCTGAAACGTCTTCTGAGTGTTGGTGATGTCATCAGTGGGCGGGGAAAATAATATTAACCAATCATATCGTGTTTCAGCCCTCCCTCCCCCCCATCACGCCCACCTATCATCCAGTGAGTCTCAGCTGGTTCAGAGACCCTCCCTGATCCCGAGTTTCACTCAGAAATATGTTACAGTACTGAAGGAAATGCGTTATGATTTCTGATTGACTTTAAAGTAACAGGAACTGTCTGTGTTCACACTGTCAATCACCTCAACAGCCCTTTAAAATCATTACTTCATTCATTTATAGAACAGAATAATGTAACTGATCAATAAATAATAAACAACATTCACATTCAAATGTTTCTTCTTCTCTGTGATTCGTGTTCAGTTCTAGTTTATTATAATGAAGTGAATCATCAGATTAAACTGATCATAGTTTTCATGAACTGACAGATTCTCACTGTAGTCTTTAGAATCAGTGCATCAGTGAGAGCTGATCTGTTGTTCCTCTTCTAATATTTCACATTTATTTAAGCTCTTTAACACATTTTACTCTTTAATAGATTCTCAGTCCTTCACATACATGTATGACGTCATCGTGGTTTTAGTGTAGAGACGGTAGTTTTGGTAGAGGACCACTCTCCGGGCGATGATGTCATAATAGAAACACGCCCATTTATGACGTCACATTGCCCAATGTAAAGACCCGTCTTTTAACATTCTAATCATTCGATGTGATGAGACTGTGGAGGAACGATTATCTCAGATGATTATTATGAACTGTAAGAACTGACTGCAGAGATGAGGAGAGAAGATTCACAGAAGAAGAACAGCCGGACGACAGCGGTATTTAAAAGAACTCACACTTATTAATCTACTCTTAAATCTAAAGCATGTTCTTTATTGATATTCTGATCAAATCTCAGGTCTATATGACTACAGATCTGAGACAAATGAATGTGGTACAATTAAAAACTGTTCATCTCTAAATAAGTTACAGTAAATGTATTTGTTCTACATAGAGAACAAAGTAAAAAAAAAACATTTATTCTGATTATTTAACAAAACCTAAATGAAATCTATACAGTAGAGGTTGACAATATGGTTTTCTGAGAATATTGTGGATCATCAGTACTTATAGAGACTGAACAACTGCATATTTCATTACAAAGAGAGCAAAATCAGTCCAGGTTAAGTGGATTTATTGCAGTGCAGTGAAACAGAGTACAAAAACATTGTATTTGTAGTTTTTATAATATGTTTTAAATGTGGCTCTACTGGTTCTTGTTTGTCTGTTCAAACATATTAAACCATTGAAGAACCAATATTTTTATGAATAATGTGTACTGAGAAAATGTCTTAAAGTATCAGGATATCATATTTTTTCAACATATTGTCTACCCTTACTATGTAGATCCTAATTTACCCTGGTGTGTAGACTAACCAGTGGAACGTGTTCTCTGTTCTGTTTTCCAGGATTCCATTCGGAAGAGCCCCGTTATCCCCGATCCCTCCTGTCTGGAGAGAATGGAGCGAGAGAGGCAGGAGTATCTGGAGGGTCGTGGTCATATGTTGAGGGAAATGAACGACAAATATGAGCAGACCCAGGAGGTCATCCTCAGACGGATCCGCAGCTCAATCCAGGATCATGATCACCCCAAAACCCATAATGAACTGCACCACCAGTCCACCAGGAGGCTCCAAAGGTCAAATGACATCTGTCTGGAGCCCCAGGTGAAAAGGGGTCATTTAGGCCGCATTCGGCTGGAACCCTTAAGAGAGAAAAAAACGTGCAGCAGCCTGGAGAGCCTGTCTGGCTCTGATGTGGACCCACCCTACATGGAGCCTTTTCCACCTTCAGATGAGCCCCGGAAAAGGGAAAGGCCCCACCACAGGGCTCAGGGCTTGAAGATGGCTGTTGAGCAGGAGTGCTCCCCCTTCAGGCCAGAAGACCCCTCCCCAGAGCTCTACGAAGATGTAGAAGCCATGCAGGACCACCTGCGTGACCAGGCTGAGTTAGCAGCTTGGATTGCAAGGTCCATGGGCCGCATTGTGCGCTCCACTGAGGTGGAGAACCACACACCCATGGAAGTGTACTCACCTGTAGACTCCTGCACCCCTGAAGAGCTCCGTGCACTTCCCTTTCTCCACACACCTGTCCCTCCACCTGTTGCTGCCAAACCCAGCAGACTGCCCAGACTGAAGAGCCTGCTCATGGGGGCCAAGGATGGGAACAAGGCCAACTACACACCAGGTGAGTTCCAGTAATGAAAGAATTAGTCTATTATTAGAGTATTTATAGCAGGAGTGAACACCACAGAGTTCATATGCAGCATCATGACCAACTCCTCATAACTCAAATAGAATAACTTTCTATTTGCAAATTCATATATTTATAAAGCTTGATAATTGTTTAGGATCCTTATTCCCTACTAGTATTTTTAAAGAATACTAAACTTAGGTTTATCTTAAACCACCAGATAGTTTGTTAACAATTAAAGCATCTGTAAATTATCTATAGGAGACTTTTAGAATAAAGTGTGACCAAATTCTGTTTTTCACAATTTTAGTGAAGAGGAATGAGAATATTTCAGTTACTGTAACCACAAATATAAACTGTGTAATTGTAGGCAGCAAAATACCCAGACTGAGAGGTCTAGTTAGGCAGAGGAGGAATCCAGGAGAAGGTCATGTGGAGCCTAGAGACAGCAGGAATGCCCCAGAAGTGGCTGAATTTAGCCAGGAGAGGAGATCAGAAGCCCAGTTGGATCCTACTGGCAAAAAACCTGTGAGAGAGAGAAGGAGAGCAGATTCACACCTCAAGCCTGTAGAAAGCAGAGCTGCTCCAAAGGCTGTTGAAGTTTGTCAGGGAAGAGCAGAGACACTGGAGACTCCAGCCCTGATCAGTGAACAGCCTCTGAAAAATCCTGAACTGGCTCTCAGACAGACGTTTAAACTACTGCAGGATGAGGAATGGTATGACTTTAGTGAACCAGAGTAGAAACACCAAACTTACAGTGTGCAGACAGAATGAAGATCAGATTCTAATGGAGCAGTGATGTGTTTTAGGATAGTGTTCAGACTAGAGTTATAATAACTGATGATACCA